CAAAGATTTGGCACATAAGATTGATTATCCCATGTTTTTAAAAAGATTTTCCATGTCTGGTCTAATATAACAAAACCAAGAGATGTAATGAGATAATAAATATATATTTGTTTACCATCTTTATGCTATATCATTGCTTATGAATCATTATTGAGTGATTTTAAATAAGGGCATCAACAAGAGAAGTGTTGGTATACTTTTAAAATCAATAGAAGTTCTTCTTTCATGCTTTTAACCTGCCCTTGAAAGTGATGATACATATATGAATTACGGTATAAGAACAAGTTTCTTTCATCTTAGAAACAGGTAAATGGATTTATTCTAGTTTGTTCCTATAAAACATGCCAAATCAAAAACTGAAATTAAATGCATAATTGTAGTATTGACAAGTTTGTGGAAAACAAATGCTTATAAGCTACATGTGAGTTACACAGAAGGGGGTTAATGAACTATTACTATTGCACAGGCTTTATGAAATAGCAGCTCAAGTAATAGGTGCCAGAAAACATGTTACCGGTATATTGTCAAACGAAAAACAATGTTGAATACAAGAATGTACAAATAGTTTAAACTAATTTTCTGGCACACTTAGAAAATATTGGCATGCATTGTAACAAATGCTTGGATAATGTTGAATGATCAATGCATAGTCGCTTTCATCTTTTTGTCATGTCATGAAGAAGCATTCAAGGAGAGGATAAGGTTACATGACACATGGGTGTGGTGACAATTGCTGTGATGAATTCCCTACACAAGCCAAATTCATTACCTCTACCCCTTAAACTCAGACTAAACTTAAAGTCTACCGATTACCAAAAAGCGTTTAGCTGAAGTATGTTTGGGGTTCTATATGGCTATATTTATTATAATCAAAATGTGAGCTTCAAATATTGATGTTGCAAGTTTAGATACACTCTCAATTCACTGATATCAGTGATTTGAGAGGGGACTAGTCGATGCACTGTACGCACGCACATAGAATATTGCTTACACAGAACCCAAGTCTGACTTGAGTCCCATAGTAAGTTTTCCTTTTATTTCTTGATATTCTTTTACCACTAGCCCATATATTGCCAGGTAAGGTTTTTTGGAGGTTCATTTCATATATGCTAATTGTCTGTAGACAATAGGGTAGATTCACAATTAACAGCGCCCCACCAGCAATCCGTGACATTGAGGCCAAGTTTTCAACATGTGGATTGACATCCTTCAACCAGTGCAGCGCAGCAAAATGCTGGCCACCGATCGAAATGACCAAAATGGTCCGGACTGTGTAAATTCATTCAATGAGATTGATTGTTCTGATATCAACGCACATTTTTATATTGAATTTGGATGTCAAAACCCATCCATCCATTGAATCTGACTCATATTGGGCATGATTTTGGACAAAAAATCAGTGGTCATTTTTGGCCCCAAAAGTGACCAAATGACCATATTGTTGTTTAAGGGGGTTAATTTGACCAATTTTTCTAGCATCAGGGCACATTTTTACATAAAATAGGCCCATCAAATCTCCTTTGCTGATAATAACGGTTGGAAGAGTACCCCTGACCAAAAGTGACTGTAATGGTCGGTTTTAGCCAAAAAGTGGCCGAGATGACCAAAGCGTGAGTATATTCATTTTTTTTTGGAATCAGCGCAAAATGTTATCCTGAAAAAACTTTTCACACATTCCCCACCAAAAATTCTGATTTTATCACTATGCAGAAGCTGATATTTTGTTGACAGTTTTCCATATTGCATCACTTGGAATCGACTAAACACTAGCTGATGTCACTAGATGGCGCGGAGTATTGTGAATCCATCATATTACCTCTTTTTATGTGATTGCTACACTTATATCCTAACCATGATCCTATCCTAAAACTTGCATCCGTAACTCTAATCTTACATCTATGAAAAAATAAATCCAAGACAAAATGTAGCCAAAGCACGTGTTAGAACAACATATGAAGCGGCAGGATAAGATTGCGTTGAGTGATTAACGGGTGCCCAATTCAAGTTTTATGTCCGCTAATTGGGAAGCGATAGACCCACGTAAAAAAACAATGGACGACTTGACATTCAAGATAGACGGTGACCTTTTGAGCGATCAATGTACAGTATTCCTAAACACGAAGCCAGCGACTGCTTTCGTGTATCTGCACACAGGTTGATTTATCAGCCAAGACTCCTGGTTAAATCAGAGCTTTCACCAATTCAATTAAAAGCCCTCTTACAGTGGGTAGTGATATATCTGCACTTGACAGGTATATTGAGGCCAAGTCTGCATTCACATAGCACATTTAATCTCATTTTTTTTTGAGGGGGAGGGGGGATTCAAAGCTCAAGGGGCATGTTCATATTATTCACGTCTTGCAGAACTATAGTGCCCACGGGCCTACTTTCTTTTTCATTTTGATAATCATCCCTGAATTCAATAAGAATGTAATCCCCTTTTACATTAAAGAACATATTCCTTAAATCATATACTATCCAAAAAGGTATATATTTTCAGGGGGACTTGCACCCTTTCTTAACATCAGTAATTGATGCAACTGGGCCCCCACCCCCTCTCATAATATGTCATGATAAAATTATGTCACTGAAAAAAATATACTGGGGCATAATTTTGGTTTCTAACAGAAACTTAAATGGTTGAACCATCTTGTCTGGATAATCATACATGAGGTAATCCCCAGTCTTCAAGTATTTCATGTTTTAACTTGTCAACTCCTTTTTTTGGGTCCACATATGATCCTTGACAACTCGCCTGTAATTACTTTGCTACATTTATAACTGTTGGACTTTGCTCAACACCATATAATTACATTTAGTGTCCACTGTACAAACTGACCTGATGTACTCTACTTCAAAGAGCCTGTGCAGCAAATATTATTGGGGGTAGGGTGGAGAATTACAGAGGAAACAAAAAACATTGACCCCCCCCCCCCCAAAAAAAAAAAAAAAAAAAAAAAAAAAAAAATCAAAAAATAAATAAATAACAAAACATTTATTTTATAAAAAATCTAGAATAAACAATTTGATGAGGAAATTTGAAGAAGAGAACTTAATAATGTAATAAGAAAATTATAAATTAAGGGATGATCAAGAAGGAAAAGAAGAAAATTTATCTTAAGGATCAACATTGGAAATTAGGATATCATGAGGAAGGCGAACAAAAGAAAATGCACGAATTACTGAAGCGAGAAAAGTGAAGTGATCAAAATTTTATCTGAAGGTTGAGTTCCAAAAGAGCTTAACATAGAGTTGCCGGCCTAATGTCTTTTCAAGATAAACATACAAGACAACCAAACAGCAGGAGAAAACTTGATCAGATTTATCATGCTGCATAAGGCGAAATAAAACAAACATAAGGGGCACGTAGAGAAAATGGAGAAGGAAACGAGCGAGCGGGTCTGATGAATTTCTCCTTGATGTATTACATTTAAGATGGAGAGTGTATTACATAATTCAAACAAATCCTCCTTCAAAGATACCATAAATAACTCTAACTCTAGCTACAATTGCGAGGTTAATCATTGAATACACTCCTTATTAAAAGAGGGACCAACTCTCAAATATTGACTTAGAGTGTGTGACTGAGAGCGAGGAAACAAAATCTGAAATTTGACCGCTAAAATGTCAAGTGTTGGTGCAGATGATCTGATCAGTGGGCCAGGTTTTTTGTGTCAAGGTGATTAATTGAAGGGTTAATATTTGAGTTAGCATGGACGTTGGTGTAGCTTGAAATAATATTAAAAGGAAGGGACCCAGAGGCCTTATTTAGGGTATGAACTAAAGATCGTTGTCTCTACCATATATATTGAAACCATCTATTCATCTAATTTAGTAACAGACTTAGCCTAAGTGGTAATCATACTTCTTCATTTTTATCTCACTTGGCTAGGTTTGCATTAGCTAGCTACAATACTGTATTTCAGGGTAGAATTGGAGCAAGTAAATTCAAGGGACAATATGATTTCAGTAATCTGGAGTGAGAAAAAAAATCCAACTAACTGTTCATATAAAAATGGATCAAGCCTCTAAGTGAATCCATGATTTGAAAGAAAGTATTCAGCACGCCAGTCAGAGAAGCCAGAAAACTAGACCAACAAAGACAACGTACAAAAAAGTATTTCTCCATTCTACACAATACCTTATACAGGAAATCATATTAAATAAAGGCTAACATTGTGATGTGTATATTATGTTAATAAAGTTCTGTTTATAAGAGGCAAACGTTAATTTCCACTATGACAATAATTAAATTGTTATCAGATCATCAAACGTTTGCTATTGTCATAGCAACAAATGTGATGGATATAAAGATAAGGAGAAATTGAGTGGAAAGGATGACAGAGAGAAAAAAAAACAGAGAGAGATTCACAACATGAGAGAGAGAGAGAGAGAGAGAGAGAGAGAGAGAGACATCAATATTACATGCAGTTTCTGTGGTCTAAAAGTGAATGCTGCCCCCTTTAGTTGCCAGCAAGATAATCACAGACATACAGCTAAGAGAATGCAGAATGGTAATCATGATTTCATGGACGTAGAAGGCAGTATTCTCCATCAGCTGTTCAAGGTTTAATTAATCAGTCGAAAGTAAAAATTGTAATCGGTCAGGCATTAGTAAAAAAAAAAGATAACCTATTTCACCTAAAAATATACATAATTGATTTGGAATGAAAGCATTAAAGACAAGACAAGATCAATGTTTTCGACCAATACTTTCATGCTACAAACAATAAATTCTTGTCGCTTAGAATCAATAAAAAATTATCACTTTGCTTTTCCCTAATTGCTCTAATGCATACATCTTTAAATGTATTGACTACATTTATATGTCACTATATATGCAATTAAAATATAATTTAAAGCAATTACATGAAAAAGGAAACAATGGAACAACAAATATTTCATAATGTTTAGCTTTGAAAGAATCGACTCAGCATTGTGGAAAAGCATTTTTCAATTGCATTTTACAAAGAAAAAGTAGGAATGGAACATTGACTTACTTGCCAAGTGAAGACCTCTGTCTCTTGTTGTCATAGATGGTCCTGTATCCTGCACCACCGTTAGGTAGCGAGTCATCAGCAGGACCCTTAGCAGCTTTACGGTGTCTATCGCTGAACGTCGGGTACTGCACCGGTGGTTTAGGCTGGTTGAGCAGGCGCTCGTTGGGTGTTGGCGATGGCTGCTCGACGGGCGACACCGGTGCTTGTTCTGGTTGTGATGGTACGTCCTGTTGAACCTGTTGCTGAGACAGCTGCTGGATTAGTGGTTCTTGTTGCTGCTGTTGCTGCTGCTGGGGCTGAAGTTGTGGCTGTTGCTGTTGCGGTTGCTGAGGGGTGTGCGATACAGGCATGCTCTCGGTGTGGGTGATCTCTCGCACCTCAATCCTCTGCTGAGTAATGGTAGATGACGTCTGGCCGGGGCTGGTCATCACTGCCCGCTGCGGAGTGCCCTGGACTGTTCCATAGGACAGCGGGGGTGAGACCTGCTGCACGGTGGAGTAAGACGTGGGTGCCGAAGCACGAGGGACTGTCTCGTAAGACACAGAGGAAGGTGGGCTCTGGACAACACCATGCGAGACTTGAGGGGCAGAGCTGTTCATAACACCAAAACTAGGTGATGGAGGTCTGGCCATGACTGAACCATATGAGGGAGGGGGTGCCACACTCTCTTGGAGTTGTGTTGGTGGAGCCTGGTACTGTTGACTGTTGACTGGTGCCTGGACAGGTGCACCTGGGGATGAGGGGTAAAAAAATTAATAGACAGCAGAAAACAATATAAATCCTCCTCCTCAGGGTACTAAGATACATCATATAGACCATGCTGCACCCCATTGAGTATCAAAACAGTCCTATGACTCCATTGATAAATGCTACATGGTCAATTTCCTACAATTTATAACTTCACCTCTGGACCAAACACTATCATCATCATCAATAGTGATCTGTCAGTTTATGACAGCTCCAGTGGCCCAATCAGAATTCTACATCAAGTGTCTCTCCAAGTACCTTTGATTTGAGCCATTCGTTTCAGCATTTCATATGCTGCTGATCCACATTCTGCGATTAACTCATCTAGAAAGCCTGTAGGAGGTCTTCCACTCTTCTTCTTTCCATTCCATTTCTTCTGTCTCTCTCTGATCGTTTGAAGCAGCACCCGCTTTTCTTGAGCTCGATGCAACATCTCTTCAAACACTATACCCAACCATTAACCCTAACCTTAAAACCAACCCTAAACCCAACCAAAAATCTAATTGCAACCTGAACCATAACCATAGAACTTTAATCCAGAGCAAATGCTGCTGTAGAAAATGTTGGGTAACTTTTTAAATATAGGGATTCTATCTAAGGTAATTTTTACCTTGCTGTGTGGTGTCTTGGACCGGGTATTGAACCTGCCTGTCAACCATGACCTGAGCCTCGATAGGGACCACCTGGATCGGACCAAGCTCTACAGGGTGGAGCCGCACCACTGTGATAGGGGGCTCCGGAGCCATGGGGCGGGGTGGCTGCTCCTGGTATTGTATCACCCTGGGCTGGGTTGGGGTACTGGCCATCTGGGGTAGGGGTGCCTGCTGGGAGGGTGGGGGAGCAGCATTGACTTCCCGCACATAGCGAGGGGTGAATCTTGCTTCAACAACCCTGGAAGATAATGGGAATAAAATGTTGATGAAAAAATAAGGACATGATTGAACATCAAGGTCTACAGATATTTTAATTTTTTTCTTCAATAAGGCACCTCAAATTAAATCTCATTAAATTGAAAGGATGCAGCTGCAATAATTTACTGTCATGTTGAAAAAATATATTGCATAATAAATCTTAGAATTGACAACGAAGGCATAGAAGTTAAACAGATAGATAAATATCAGTTTCATTCCCAATATTGCTCTGGTATCAATGAGTAAAACAGAGTCAACTGAATGTCACAAACTAAATAAGCTTTATAATATCCTTGCGACAGTTGGCAATTTTTGACAATGCTGAAGATTTCTCTCTGGATCAAAAGCTCATCCCACTTCAGATATGATCATCAGTGAAAACATGAAATATATCTTTTAATCACTTATAAAATCTACAGATCATGAAGAATTTGAAATCAAGTCAACAGTCACATAGCATGTTATTTTCCAAAAATTATGACATGACAATATTAGGCAAATCATGCGAAAGCAACATTTCACATATAAATAATCACACACACAAAAAGAAATCTTTTAGACGGAAATGACTTGTAGATGTACACAACTGCAGTTCCGTGGAAACAAAGTTAACAAACAAACAAAATAAATTGTGTTAAAACATATCCTAATAGTTACAGAGTTTTCTCTTTCCATCACATTCTATATAGGCTACACATTTTATGTACAATTTCCTCTTCTTGTGAATGATTTTGTTAGCTCAACAATGCAACCTAAGAGGATTATATGGAAAGTTAATCAAATTTTTGAGCCTTAAACCATGTGTGAAAACTCTGTGTGATGCCAGACCAGTTGAATTATAGATTAATTGTGGTCTCTGGAAGGAAAATGATGGCATAAATACTTGAAATACCTAGTAAAAGTCTGCTTTGTAATAGTATTATAAATTGGAAATCTAGAATGTTTAATTCTGTATGTATCTTCTGTAATGATCAAGGATGAGTAGATTGTAAACTACAATAACAAAATCACAACATATTGGCAAAAATGCTTAGTAACATAAAAAGCTCAAAATCACAATAGAACATCCATTTAAACATAAAGGTAAGTACTGAGTCTTCAATAAAAAAAATATATAAATTAAAAAAAAATCAAATTAGCAATCAGTTCTTGAATTAAAATATTAACAGTATACATGTATTGACGGAAAAATTAAAGGATTCAGAATTTAAAAAAAGGAGTAAGTAAAATAAAGATTAAAACAATGTCTTGTTTGTGATAGAAACTGTGATATTGCAGTTGATGAGTGGAATAAAAAATGATTGACAATTCTTACAATTGTAAGAAAAGAGCCGAATTCTAAAGATTCTGGATGTGAATCAATACAAAAATAAACTTTTCTTCTTGGATTCTTAAATACCATTTGTCAATTTCAAACATAAGTATTATTCATACACACTGCATATAAACATGCAAAACGAATACTGATATTTTTTCTGGGAGAGGGGTACACTATTTCAGTCTCATATTTCTTAGCCTATTTCAATAAATTGATTTGATTTGATTTGATTTGATTTTCCTTTATTTAGTTAGTAAAAACTGAAAACAGTAGAGAGAGGGTATTAAAGCAGAGACTTCACTGCAAAGCACACAAGGGGGGGGGGGGTAGATTAAAAGAGGGTGAAACATGGTCAATGCCATTTATGGTACAAAAAACACAGCTTCTAAATCAAAAGAGTTCGGTCGAGGCTGTGGGGGTAATGAGGGGAGGGGAGGCTTGTTCTGAACAAGGAAGGGGGGGGGGGTAGGGTAGGGGTCACATTCAAAATATGACTTTCTATGAGATGACCTACGGAGAGACTGTAGGCGGTTCCATCACATCTTCAACAAGACTTACAGGAGGTTCAAGACTGAGGATATAAATCAAGACATTTAAGCAAATGCAGTTTCTTGATATGTTATAATCTGGCTACAATCTCCCTCTTTTTATAAGGACAGGGCGTTGCTGCACTACGTTGATGCATGTAAGTGTAGTTTTCTTTCAAAGTGGCAATATGTCATCATGTTAGCTGACTTTTCCTGCCCTAATATCAACTTTCCCATTTTAATTTGGGAGCAAGTGAAGTAACTTAACACATAAAAAGTGTTTTCACAGTAAAAGAAGTAATTGCATGATGAAAATATACATAATTAGATAATAAAATTACAAATAAACCACCTCACCCCCTAATTAAGGGGTGAGTGTTTGCCTGAATATAGGAATTTATTTTTTTAAGGGGCCACTGCAGCCCCAGCCCCCATCCCCCTTTCGAACATGGGATCTTGCTGTTCTAATGTAAGTGATCTTAACACTGAGCCACAGTGACTAATCTCACTCAAAGCAACAGTAAACATGTGCAAAACAATTCTTTTGTGAAGCGTGAATCAATTCAACAGTGAAATATTGTATGATAATAAACAATTTAACAATGATACAATACATATATGAGTGAATACATTTAAACAATAAAAATTGAAGCGAGTGGCAGCAAATATACATATATATATTTTTTTTTTTTTTTTACTTTTGAAGGCTTGAAAGCACAAATGTAAGCAACAAGAATATAATAAAATGCTGCTTTAGGCATAGCTATAGCTATAATGGTATGAAGCATAATGATTACTTTATGCATGTCACACAAAAATCACACACCATTTATTTTTCTGTTTACACAACTATAAATTGCAGAATATTTGACGCTGCACAGCAAAACTCTAGCCTTAAATATGAAGGCATGTTTAAAACTTTTTTCCAGTTTTCATTTTTATTTAAAATTACTTTAATTCTGACAGAAATATTCATAAAACCAACGGCAAGCTTGAACAGTCACATTTAGGTGTTCCTTAAAAGTTAACTTTGATATGTTGTGAAATATTCTTATACTAAATATAAAGACCCATATAAGGCCCAATATTCCACTGAAATTCATACCCGACAGTGTGCTTAAGCTTGGTCTGAAGTCGATGTTAACAAAAGAAGATAGTTGCAGGTCTAAATTTTTATTTTTGTTCGAAACAACTTACACCCAGCTTCAGGTTTAACTGAAGGAGAAGAGAATGTAAATTTCTGTTTCCAGGAATCAGATATCATATATGGAACGGGGAGATGACACGAGAGTGTTTTAGAAGAAAAGGGTCATAACTCACTTCCTTGGTTTTCTGGCTTCCACCTCTTCTGCAACATCTCTAGTAATAGGAGTGATCTCTATGGGTTGCTGTTGATGGGTGATCTCCCGTCTCCACTGGGTCGTTGTAACCGTCTGAGGTACACCGTTGCTTACCGTCTGGGTTTAGAAAAGAGAAGTTTAAAATATAATTCAGCTGATTTCATGTGCAATGTGTATGCAATAGAGAAGAAGGTATACTTAAATGCATAAGTAATCACAAATGGTAACATTATTTGCTCAAACAATAACAATTAATGTAGCAGAATAAACATATTTTAGAGGGTAACTTAAATGTGGAACTGGGCCCTGTTTCACAAAACTTGTGATCAATAGCAAGTTACAATAACTGTTATAAGCTACTGAAATCATGGCATCTGATTGGCTGGGAGCAAATTTGTCATAGAATTTTAGCATTTGTTATATAATTTAAGCATTTGTTATTGATAACAAGTTTTATGAAACAATGCCCAGATCTTGTTCAAGATCATTGTGAAGATGATCTAGTGGCTGATCAGATGGAGCAAGAAAGCGGAAGACGGTTGCTGATCTGTGGATCAGAAAACATACCAGTTGGCTGGGTGGTTTGTTTTACCCGACTGCTAAGAAAGCATGTGTGTGCTTGAAGTAAGCAAACCAGGGAATGGGCAGCTTTAAGTCCTCTCCGAGGGACTTGGTAATGAGGATTAAAATGCCTTACCATAGGGCACTATAGCGCATCAACATGTTTTCGAACCCGGGACCTCCCGGTTACGAGACAACTGTTCTACCACTGAGCCATCACACCTTCTGTAACTATTGGCAAACTTCAAAACTACGAGATGGAATGAAAATGCTATTACAGTCAAGCCTGCTTTAGTGACCACCTGTCTACAAAGACCACAATTTTTGTTTCCCTTGAAAACGATTTCTCATTTATTCATGTACTAAAGGAACCTGTCTACAAAGACCACTTTTTGTGTTTCCCTTGGGCGGTCACTATAGACAGGTTTGACTGTACTTAGGTAAACTCACATGCATAGGACCGGTTGAAGACATGGTGTTGGTAACGACAGGAGGCGTCCAGGGCGTTATCTCGACTGGTGAGTTGGGACGATGAGGAGGAGAATGCAAGATGGGTTGACGGCCCATCCATGGCTCACTCTCCAGGTACTCCAGTTGCCTGAGTGGCTCCTAACATAACAACACAAAACAGCTAGTCAAGTGGAATTTCATTAGCTTTTAGGATAATCATTGGCAGAGTCTTGAATTGTATATAAGCAGGGGAGCTAAAGTCAGCAAAACAGGAGAATCAAGGTAGTTTTGCATTTTGGTACATATTCAAAACATTTGGTCTCTACCCTAAAGCTATTGCTACGATATGTAGATGATTACATCGTTGATGTCTTGATATTTATACATCATTACTAACTTTAACATAATCATCATAGTTGTCAGCATCGTCCTTGTTAAATTCATAAATTATGACTGACCGTCCTTGTTATAAATGATTACCTTAATGTGTATCATTGAATAATGTTCCCCAGTTAGATTGTTATGACAAATCATATTATAAATAGCAAGAGACAATGTTGTGGGGGTAAATATTACCCTACATTTTCTCGCTTACTTGTGCGTTACATTAGCTACACATGTAGAAATGTGCTAAGCATTATATTATTGATATCTCATTGCATGCAGCCATGGCTGCTTTATCAAGATCTTTACCACATCATTTTGTAATAGGCTTTATACCGGTACTCAAAAATGAAAAAGAACAATTTGGATAGAATCATAAATGGCGAAGGAACATGACATAATTTAGGAAATCATCATACAAGAATCAACCTATTTCCTCTATATACTTACATCTCCCAGAGGAGTTTGCCTAGTGGCTGGCGGTGTGTAGTACCTATGCTCTGGACTAGGAGCCGCTGGGGTAGGGGTCCACTCCTGGGGCTGTCTGTTAGGCTCCATCCTGTGCTCCACGGTGATCACCCTCTTCTGCGAGTACATGGGCTGGGGGGTCTCCCTGGCGGGCTCCTGAACGGGGGCAGGAGCTGTTGGTGGTGGAGGGGGAGGGGAGTACACCTCGGCGGTGGGCGTGCGTCGGGGTGCAGACTCAGGCACGGGCGGGATCTCAAAGCTGTCCTGGCGATGCATGGTTCGCTGCAGAGGGAGCGGCTGATCAGGTCCTGTAGGGTGGAGGTAAAGGGAAAATTTAAAATGAAATACTGATGATGGTTTGTAAGTACTTACAAATCTCTTCCTTGTAACATCATACTCTAGATATATCCATTTTTACTCATGATGACTTCCTACCCCAAACTAATATTGATATTTTTCCTTTCTTTTGTGTCTTAATATCAACGAACAATAGTGGCAAATGTCAAAATACAGGTAACTGATAGACTGCAGTTGTTTTGTTTTTATACATTGTAAAGGAAAATTCTGATATGAAATGCCAGTGACAATCATAGACCTACACACTTTTAACCAACCATATTCTTGTGCCTGAAAGTTGAAATCTTATCATCTTACCTCACTTGTAGCATGATTTTTTCTCTGTAGTAATTAAAAAACTACACATTTAGAAACCAACAAAAATTGTGAAATATTGTAATGTATCTTGGCTATATATACTGTAAAATGAACATGCATGATGCATATGCACATTTACCATGATAAGTATATATGATGTTATGTATAGTATATAAATTATTATATCATCTGTTTGGACACAGACGATATGATGTATGCGCTGGGAATACCGTTATAATGACTCGACTAAAAAAAAATTGCTGCGTAAAATAACCATATAAAATGTATTTGATTTCGAGAAAATCTTTTATTTCCTCATTCTAATGTTCTCACCTAAAGCAATGGAATGTACTTCAATGAATTTTGATGAACAGTTTTTTTTTCAGTTAGTGGTTCTTCTAGGCCCCCAAACCTCATTATTCAAGTCTTGTAAATAATTGTTATTCCCTGTAATATTAGTTAAACTTCTGCTACAGATTTATAACTGGATTTTTTTTCTTTTCTTCTATTGATGACCCATTCATTGACCCTTTTAAACCCCAAAATCAATCCACATAGGATAACCACTTTTCCCCTACCCTTTAAGAAACAAAAAGACATAGTAAGACATAGCACGTGCAATGAAAATCATGGTAGTTAAGATATACAGATACAGAATACAGCTCACTTCAAACAGGTTATTTAATAAATAACTTTAAGAATAGAAACCTACATTTTCCAGGTGCAAACATGTAGTAAATTCCAACATAGCTTTCTAGAAACATACTAGCTATCTTGTAAGTTTCATCTTTACTTATTTTATGCTGTTGTAGATTTCACAGCTATTCTTTTCACCCTTAAAAATATTGTAAATGACTGTCAATCATAGTCCATTTCTTCCTGCATAACTTCCTGCAGATCATGTACATTTCTCATCTCTCCTGGCATGAATTTTAATTAAAAATGTGCATTACAAAAAATAATAACAACAACAATATCACAAGTAATATAGGTCATTGTCCAATCTACAGATGACCTGTCATGTTAGTTATTAAAATGAGTAGTCTGGACTAATGGTTTAGTATTATACCTGATTTAGATAGAGCAATTGAAATTACCAAGATGCAACCATCATTTCATGCTCACAAGATATAATAGCAATGTAGCAGACATGCTTTTTTTTTCATTACAATCAAGGCTGTCTCATATCATTAATATAACCCTTTCCCAACCCCCACCACCCTGTTTTATTGTGAAATGAAAGAAAAAACTAAAACAAAAGTAAAATTTGAAGATCCCTTGCCTATGGTCTTTCATTGTTGATCTAACCGAATTTCCCTCACTACAGCACTAAATGGAAAGAGTATATATGATTTTACCAGGGTGATAGCCGGCATGCAGTTGGGGCGGCAAGGCCTTTCCTATCTCACCATGCGGTGGCGCTCCAGTATTGACGATGAAGGTCTTGGTCATGTTGGCGTAAGCCCGGGGACCGACAGGGAACTTGGGTGTCTTGGGACCAGAGATGCTCTCGCTGGATGAACTCAGGTCATACTCCTTTGGAGGTTCTTTAGACTTCAGTCCATCCTTCCGGTTCCAATATTCAGTCTCCTGGGAGATTAAGGAAGATGGGGCATATTAAAAGTTCATTGTCACCTTGCATACAAGGAGTCTGTATTAATTAGGCATTACACAATGTATGGTTCTGATAGGAAGGACAGTGACTTTTCCTTACCTAAAATGTTCAATCTGAAGGGTATCAAAAGACCACAAGGCAAGCACAGAAAAAGAACAAGGAGTCAGAGGACTGACAGAGAGAGAGAGAGAGAGAGAGAGAGAGCGCGAGAGAAAGAGACAAAAAGAGAGAGAGAGAGAGAGAGAGAGAGAAAGAGACAAAGAGAGAGAGAGAGAGAGAGAGAGAAACAGAGAGAGAGGGAGTGAGTGAAAAATGATAGAAAAAGATACAGGGGGAGAAAAATAAGGACTAAGGCAAAGGGAAAGAGAATAGTTCAGGAATATGGCAGCACGGAGAGAAAGAGAGAACGACTAGAAGAAAGGAAGAGAGAAAGAGAGAAAGAAAGAACAACAAAAAGAAAGGAAGAGAGAAAGAGAGAGAAAGAAAGAAAGAAGACAGAAAGTGACAAATAAATAAGAGTAAGAGAGCAATGAAGATAGAGCACACTGACAAACCTTCCTTGGGAGTCCACCGGGGTTTTGAAGCCAGACCTCTGCTCCAGGGTCAATAAAGTTGCGCCTACGAGGGGGGCGGTAGTACTGCTGGATACCAGTATCAGAGTCGTACCCGGACTGGTTGTTGGTGCGACGAGGTGGGCGGGTCTGGGCAGCCGGGGGCGACCTGTCCATAAAATCTATCCCGACAGAAAAACAGAGACAAAATTGAAAACACCCATACACAAAAGAAGACATAAAATTCCCAAATCGTCCCAATTTTCATGAAGTGATGGTAGTGAGGAAAATCGCATAAAATTTGCGTGACGATTTACCGTCACTTCGTGAAAATAGCGACGAAATGAAGTGATAACAAATTATTTCCAAAGACACCCATCTACTATATTTAAGATGATAACTTCTTCAAAGCTCAAAAACTGATTTTTCATGAGAGAGAGAGACAGAGAGTCAGAGAGAAAGAGAAAGAGAAAGAGAAAGAGAAAGAGAGAGGGATAGAGAGTATACATTAAAGCAATTATTAAAAAAGTTCTTAAACTCACTTCAAGTGATCTATGTGATGAAGTTAATGCAATTGAGATTAGAATTTTCCTTTTTTTGGTGGACAGTTGCCAAAATCGATTTTGATTGATCACTATTGATTTACCAATAGAAGCCATTGGAGCCAATAGAAGCCATCAGAGAGAAAGAGAAAGAGGAAGAGAAAGAGAAAGAGAGAGGGATAGAGAGTATACATTAAAGCAATTATTAAAAAAGTGCTATCAACAGAAAAAAAGAGGAAGATAAAAGAGAAAGAGAGTGAAGAGTGAAAGAAAGGTAAAGAAATAGACAACAGGAAAAATAAAACTACTCACTTGGAGATCTGTCCGCCACCAACCCTTTTGGTATGTTGTCTACCTCTGTTGGTTCATCAATGTGCAGATCCACCTCATCAAAGTTCTTTCTGGGCGTGGACGTAGCCTGAGGTCTGTGATTGGTCAATGTTTGAGATGTGTAATGGTACCCGCCGTTGGATTGGTGGGTTTGAAAGTGAGATGGGTTAATCCTGTCATCTGATTGGTTGTTGTTGTTGAGTTGATGATGAGAAAGGATGGCACTGGTGTCTAGTGAGGCATGCGTGTTATGGTTAGCGTCAATCGATGATGGTGATTTGTAAGGGGCGCTGAGTTTCTGGATTTCATTACTCCAGTGAGAGAGCATCTTGACAGCATCGTCAAGACTACTGAAGGCATCCTCTCCGCTGGAGTTGTTATTGTTAGTCTCAAGTTCATTAAGGCCAGAGTTGCTCACGCTACGGGTGAAGACTCGCTCCTGGGGAGGGGTGCTTCCATGCATGGAGGAAAGAGGGGGATGGGTAGTGTTAAAAGTCACACTTTGAGATGGGTTAGAGGACTCCACATGCAGGGTTTGTTTGTTTAACGTCCGCACTTTGCGCTCCGTTTGAGTCGGCTGCTGATCGGTTTGCTGCTCGTAAGGTTGATAATCTGGCAATCGTGATTCTGGAATATGATAATGACGTCCTACTGGACTCCTTTCGCCATCCATCTTCTGTTGCATAGGACTGGTTGGAACGAAGCTCTGTGATGCAGGAGTCGATCCTGGCAATGTTTGACCAGTCTCTTGCATAGAACTGTTGTCATAGCTATACCCGTAATTATTCCAGCGCTCTATCTCCTCTCTCCTGTTAGGAACATTATTGGAAACCATCTCACGTAAGTTATTGGTCTGGTGCTTTTGGGACTCTTGTGGAGTCCTACTACGGGTGTTACCCTTAGGGGGTAAGGTTGCCAAATTTTCAAACTGAGGTCTCACTGGGCGTTGAGGGATTGGCTGGACTACATTCGTCTTACTTTGATTTGTGACATGACCCCTCGGAGTGAGACTGCTGGATATCACCTCATTTCGCAAGTCAAAGTGAACCTTACTGCCAACCTTCTGGCTGCTATCCAACTTGCTTTCCCCAGCCCTGTCACTTGAATGTCCCCTGGAACTCACACCTTTGTTTTGGTTAACATTATTAGTGCCCCTTCTGAGCTCCCTGATCCGGTTCATGACCCAATCATAAGAGGGAAGAGTTGGAGGTACAGAGGAGGCCCTTGGTGGTTGTTCCACCTCAGGTGAAAGGACCCTTTGGAAGCTACCTGTGGGCAATCCGGACCCACGCTCTTCTCTTTGGTCATGGAAACTGACTTTTGGTCGCTCATTTTGGATAGGGATGGGGATGGGTCTTGAAAGACTTGGTATACTTGATGGAGAGAGAAGGAAGTCTGCTTTTCGGAATGCTGACTTCAGCAAGTGTTGTGAAGGGGTAAGTTCTGGTTGGTTTGACACTTCCCTTGAGCTTGTATCAGATGCATGGGAGAAGGACTCAATTTCCCTATCCCTAGACCCTACCTGGGAGGGGTGCATCGAGGAACCCTTTTGGGGGGTAGACTGGTACTGTTGTGAGTTCCAATCCCTAGACCCTACCTGGGAGGGGTGCATGGAGGAACCCTTTTGGGGGGTAGACTGGTATTGTTGTGAGTTCCAATCCCTAGACCCTACATGGGAGGGGTGCATAGAGGAACCCTTTTGGGGGGTAGACTGGTATTGTTGTGAGTTGTTACTGGAAGACTGTTGTGTGTGGATGTACTGTTGTGATTGGTTACTATGAGGATGATACCCGCTACCAGGATGATTACCACTACCAGGGTTACGTTGAGATTGGTGATGAGGATTATGATTGTTTCTATGGTGATGAGAATAGTAAGCAGTTGGTATGGATGAAGTAGAAGAGGAGGAAGAAGAGGAGTGTATGGAGGTATCATAGAGATGCTCTCCCATGGATGTGGAGACAGTGAGAGGTACAAAGGCAGATGTTGGAGAGCGCAAGTTTCCTGAGGATATGGTTGAAGACTGTCCATCGCTTTGCTTCTGAAGGCTTAAGGAAGTTTTTGAACTATCGCCTGGCCTTGGAAGAAAGCTATCAACCTCTTCATAAGGATTGACCCGGATGTTAACTCTAGGTTGATGCTGCGATGACGATGATTGTTCTATCGCTTTGCTACCAGAATCACCCTTCCACTGGGTAACAGGAATAGCAGGATAATGAAAGGACCCGTCTTTGTTTTGAACTGCTTCGATTTGGACCGTCTTCTTCCTACGCTCTGTGGTGTTTCTAATCGTGGTCTCTGAGCCATCTTGTCCTATGTACTTTGTCACATCAGAACTAGTTTCCTGCGGCCTGATCCCCGACAGACTCGATGCCAATGTCTGGTACGATGAGGACTTGTACCCAGAATCAACTGAAGGCGTTAAAGAGTTGACGTCGGAAACCTGTGATGTGACTTTCACCGGTACGCTACTACTGTACAACATATCCGATTTCATTGCGGAACTGGCATGTACAGGAGTTTCTGTAAATGGTACACTACCAACCCTTGAGGCAAGTTCTGTCCTCGACTGATATCGTCTCTCTTCTTGTGCGCAATTGCTATGGCTATGGTGGTAGTGAAGGTTTGGTAGATGTATGGATATATCGTAGGCAGACACATACCAAGAAAACACCAACAAACAGGAGTAAATATGGAGGAAGGCAGAGATTAAAAGGAAGAGGTTAGTGGATCATACCATGTTAAAAACACCATGTGAACAGACAAGAAATCAATCTGTTAATGAATAATCATGCTACTTGAGACTGTCATTGTCAACATACATACTAATGAAGATCCCCTCATAGCAGAAATGGACTGATCATTTGTGATCCTATTGCATAAAGTTTGGAAAGATGTACTCTGTGTGATTATATTCATTATTTGCATGTGTCGTTTGCTTTTTGAAATGTACTGTTCCTTTTCCCTGATTTATTCTTTTTCTCAAACTAGAATCATTTGTATTTTTATTTTTCAATTCAATTCATTTATTTTTCCATTTTAAAACAATGTGAACACAAGGACAGACTAACAGCAATAAAGTCAAAATATAAAAGGATGGAATACCCTTGAAAGCAAATTGATTGTGGACAGGTTTCCAGTTTTTACAAAATGATTTTTGATGTTTCTGAAGTAAGAAGCAGAGTCCCCAGATGTCATCATTTATTCAAAAACATATATCATTGCCTTTTTTTCCAAAACAAATGAGGGGGGAACGCACTAATTTCTTTGGAATGTCCAGGATCTTCAGTATTTACCCTACCCCCAAGAGATAATGAATAAATACTATAGACACTTTGAGCAATATATATTATAATCCATCAGTCCCAAGTAGCAGTATCATTAGAAAATACCTAACCGTCATGCTATGAATGTGTAACCATTATATCATATTTTCATGCAATGAGTTATTACAAACACACCCAATATGTAAATGTAAATACCCCATGATCTTAGTTGAACAGGTCAAAGGATAGAATGTAAAATGATCACCATCAGAGGACACAGGATTGGTATACATATCCTCTACATGGTGGAAAGAACATATATAACAGCTAAATATCTATAATACCAGTAGTTCAATACTTCTAACATAAATATATGATCTTTTTTTATGAGTAACAGATTTCAATGGGTCCAATTGAATGATTTGTCATTTTTTATAAACCAAGGAATGTAAGTCATAGTGCCATATTTTGGGTAGCTGTTATCTCATTTCATTCACATCAAATATTGTCATTGGTGCAAAAATGCAGTGCAAACGCAATCAACAATCAACCCATTACATATGAAGAATGCATCGATCATGATGTTAATATTAATAAAACCATGAACATATTAAACCATGATGACTCTGAGAGAAAAAAAAACCTGTGGCACACATAACAGACATCAGTAATTAATTCTTTTTCCTTCACCAGTAAAACCAGTTAAAACCAAACATTGTGATCAGTATTGTGTTCTTCCATTTACGGAAAATGCAACACATGAAAATGTACCCCATCATGTAAATAGGATAAAACTCCAATAGCAATTACATCTATAACATTGTCATCAAGAGTACACATTTGCAAATGTTGATTTTCATGGTATATCATTAACAAATTGCAAAATTAATGTTTTTTCTTAAAGGGTCACAGATTACTTAGTTTTAAAATCTAGTCAATCAAACTATAGTTCTTTTGATCATCAAGCTTTTAACTCCATGTCAAGATGGGTTTTGCCTTCACTTACCCATCGTTCCTCAGCTGTGCATTGGTAAGTATTGGAGGAACCGGATCATAAGGCGTTGATGGTGTAGCAGGGACCTTCGGTGACTGATCAACGGCAGGTCTCTGGAACACAGGGTCACGAAACCTGTCGTGGGTCAGATCGGAAAGCTGCCTGTTGAGCTGTCTCTCATGAGGTTCCCATTCATGGCTGGTCGTGGTGGTGATCGATCGCTGGACGTAGGACTGGGCCGGCTTGGCGCTGTTCATCTGCCCCAGCTCGCTGATGGATCGTTCCAAGTCAGTTGAGATAGAAAGAGGGGGTGGTGAAATGCCCCTTCGTACAGACACGCCGCCATCCTTGGGTCCAGTCATCAGCAAGTGATCGTGTACAGGATAGATCGCATTCTGCACTGGTGTGGTTTCTGTGGCAACCACCGGAGCCTGGTTTAGTGGGGTGATGTTGTAACCTTGGCGATCTTGAAGCTTCTGCTGTTGCTGGGCAAGCCAAGATGGAGGCTCATCCTTCCTGGTGAACATTGGTGGGGACACTGCAGGTGGCGCCGACTGAAGATCGCCCTCAAAGCGGACGCGCAACTTTGGTGATGCGTTGACAGGCATGGTCCTGATAGGTGATGCAGGTGATGCATTGATGGGCATGGCCCTGATGGGTTCTGCGGGCGCTTCCCTTACGATGGGTCTCCCGTTTTCCCTCTCCCGCTTCTCACGAAGCCTGTCCTGCTGCCTCTTGAGCCAGCCAAGCCCACCATCCTCCTCCTCCCCAGTGGGGCTGACAGGGCTTACCTGGGAGGGGGATGGGGTGGAAGGCTGGTACTGCTGTTGTTGGGGTGCATTGGGGTCTTTCCTCAGGAGTTGGAACCTATCCTCTCTGGCTCTCAATGGGCGTGGCTCATAATTTTGGTGCACAGGCGATGTGGGGCCATTTTCTAATCTATTAAAATTGGGAGTCCTTTCTGTCACCCTACTGGCTGAGTTGGGTATGATAGGGGTCTCCACAGGCCCATTCATCTGTGCTATGTAAGGTTGGGCAGGACTTGGGTTACGAACCATCTGATTATAGGTCACAGGTGTTGGTCCATTCTGAACATTTATATGTCCTGGATTCATGTTCACCTGACCTGGGTTTAGATTCACTTGTCCGTTCTGGGCCACTTGTCCGTTCTGGACCACCTGTCCGTTCTGGGTCACATGACCATTCGGGGTCGCATGACCATTCTGCATTGTCCCATGCTTTGATCCTTTGGGCGTGATGTCATAGGTCGGATTGTGCTGCTCAACGGATCTTGGCATATTGGTGCCTCCATTCATCATTGGTGGTGCTGAGTGCTCCTGGTTAGTCACTACGACCGGTGTGATCCTCTCCTGGTGTGGACCACTCTGGTTGGTGTTAGGGTTCTGCTGAAGCTTCTGCTGCATGGCATCTGTGATCTCTGCATAGGGGTTCTCAGCCTCACTGGACTCCTTCCTAGATACTGGTTTCTTGGATGGTGAAGAATTCTCCTGACCGGCAGACTCTTCCTTGATATCCTCCTGAAGTGTGGGCGGTGGCTTGGGCTTGGACTGGGAGACGGGAGCGTGGCGGAGATCCTCACTAACGCTTACAATACGTCTTGTGTGAACTGGCTCATGGTGGAGAACCTGAAGATGACAATTCAGAATGAGGAAACTGTATCAATGTAATAAAAATAATAATAGGCATTTGTATTGCGCCATCTATCGAGAACTTCAATTCCGAGGCGCACAACGAAAATTAGATAAGAAATAAGGGTCCAAATATGCAAATTGGCATCAAAGAACACAAAATTTCTTTTTGTCTAAAATAATAGCTATTCATATAGCGCTTATATCCATTATGTTGTGATGGTCATAATGTTCTCATGACATAATGTAATGTTTGCTCCAAAGGCTGCATCCCAAAACTATTTCTATCTTAGCCTCAGCTAGAAATTTGCAAAGTGTACTTCATGATGTCACTAAACTGACCGTGTTAATATCAGGTGATGGTGGTGCCTTCCACTGTGTGTTGTTATTGACCACAATGCCTCCGTCTGTGTCCTCTCCCGTGATGCCTTTGAGCAGTTCATCCAGAGCCATTCTCTCCCGGTAGTCCATGTTCCTCTTGCCTCCATCCCTCGAAGTGTTCACCTGAGGGGCTTTGTCTGGGGAAAGGACATACGGCAAGGGGGCCGTATTGGTGTCTCCATTGGTCAGTCTCGGGATGACCGGTGACTGCTCGGGTGATGGGGACTTCTTGACCTGAGCGTAAAGGCTGCCATCGGGAGCCGAGCTGTGAGGGATGTCCAGGATCATGTTGTTGTTGTTGTTCCCAGATGTTTCATTGAGGTCAGGGCCTCCGTCTAGAGCAGAAAGTAAATAAAACCAACATTTTAATCCCTCCCAAGAAATCCCAGAATGAATTGGCCTATATCATCAACGGTACTGTTAGGTATGACCTCTCTTAAAAAGAGAAATTATAGCCTTTGTTGCAAATGCTACAATGAAAGGTATCCCTAACAGCTGTTACTCTCAGACACTTAGGTGCATTTTCTACTAAAATTTAAAACCCAATGCAAGGTTTAGGCCTTTATTCAAAATTAGGTTAACAAAGGAAGTTAAATTGCAGTCTAAGTTTTCCTTTTATGAAATGTGAATTTAGACCCAGCTTCGGGTTCAACTGAATTAGGAGCATATGAACCCTTAAATGCTCAAATAAAAATGGACTTGCAACCTCACAAATTAATACCGTATCCTGATGCATATTGCACAACTACAAAAAGAGGAGCAGACCAAATGAAAGGGGTGTGGCTTATACCTTCTGGTCCTTCGATGATGTCATTGAAGTGTTCATAAGAATCCCATCTGATGAGGGGATCATCGATGTGTTCAGACGGGAAGCTGGCTCCCGAGACGTAGTCACTCCCGTGAAGGGCATCGGGAGTGGAAGAGAAGATCAGCTCCACCTTGGTGAATTCTGGGAATCTAGCATCTGTGGGATAAAAAAAACAATGACGATTAAATGCTGACTTTCTACCAGGGCTGAGATTTTTGAGCTAATATTTCATATAGCATTTCAATCCAAAGTAAATCAGAGTTCTCTCGTTTTTCAAAAGCTGACTGCATAAAATTAGTGAATTGTGGGAATTCGATGTCCATATAAGTTAACTGGAGTTGAAAATCAGTTATTTGACAGTGATGACAGTGATATCTAAAATGGATAAGATGATAACCACAGGGAAATATTTATATTGTCAATGAATGGGATGTTTAAGATCCTATCATCTTTATCATCATCATCATCATGTAGAGGTGTTGTGGTCTAGTGGATAAGTCACCCGACTGCAGATAACAAGCTACGGGGTTCAAGTCCTGTCGCGTTAATGTACATTTGCCACTCTCCACCCAGGTGTAAATGGGTACCTGATATGTTGAGCGCTGGTTACTTTGGCAGCTCGGCTATAACCAGGGTAGTATGTGTAAAGCGCCATGAGCGTCAGTAGCCTGGCGAATACCGGCGCTATATAAATATCCATATTATTATTAATATTATCATCATCACCATTATCGTAGACCATAGAAATCATCCCATACGTGTAATGATGTTGTACAATATATATATATTTTTCTTATCTTACCTGTACAAGCATCATCTAGTTCCTGCTTTTGGAAGACCAATCTATACTCCATGACTGCCGTTGTATGGAACTGACATCTGAACACTGTGTCTCGGGTCGTTGATCTGAACTTCTTATGGTAACACTTCAACTGTAAATTGTATGAGTAGAAGAGTCAAATAAACATGCCTTAATTAACTTAACAAGCTGTGCTTCAACCAAGGTCTCCTCGTCTTTCTTTATTCTAAATTGTACTGTTATGATTATACTCTATTATATTTTGTTACATGTGATTTCTGGAAGACAAATAAACTTGATACTTGATGGTGGTAATGAGTCAAATCTGGTGATCCTTAACCATTTTGTGATATTTGTTCCTGGCTTAATTTGTCAAAGATGTAATACTAGGGTTAAGGTTGCGATTGGGTTTTAGGTTTGGTGTAGTGTTAGGGTTACATGGTGTTTAGTCCAATTAGCTTGAAGTCAGGACTTTGGTACGGGAGGTGAATTGGAGGAGTTATCGTTGTAGCCTGTGTCTGTCTTAGCACCTCAAACTTACCAGAATGTCTCCTCGTAGAGGAATAGCACTGCGTGGTGTGATCACAAAGCGACTTGTTCCCTCTGGCACGGTGCTGGAATTAAAACGAGGGACAGACAAATTCCATTCATAAATTCCCTCTTCCAAATATATTAATTTCTTCAAATTCATTAGGAATTTAGTTTAATATAACTGGATTCACATTTCACTAAACAAAACATGGACAAAGAAAGGTGTATCACTTAGCTTACCGTAATATATGAAAGACGGGATATGGAAATGGTACAAAATTAATGTAATATTGAACAAAATAATGTGTGACATCACACACTTATAAATTAATATTATTATAAATATTATAATCCTATATATTTTAGATAGTTCCTTCAGGTCCAAAGTACATCCCCCCAACAAAAATGAGCAGACAATGGGATGTACAAATTTAAGTCCATGTATCATCTGCATCATTATCAGCAATATTCCAACTTTAGCAGTAAAAACTAGACAGGTAAAAAAAATGAACCCCCCCACCCCCACCACCAATTTTTTTTTCTTCACTTGTACCCTTCTGCCAGACATACAACTTATATCTAAGTTTATAAGTTGATTTTATCAGCTGTCATATCCATAAAAGTGTGACCATCTTCATTAAATAAATAGTGGAATACTTACTAGACACCAGATGTGTATACAGGGCTCATGCCTTGGTATATCCTCAGGAAAGGACGGCAACCTGACGGAAAGAACAAGAAAACAGGTTGAATTTATTACCTATCCAGAAGAATATCATCGCAGGTACATCATGCACACAGCCTAGGGGTGCGATCAAGCGACACTAAACACGTTTAGTTTAAAACATGGTTGCATTCAAGTAATTTCAAGCAATTTTTTGTCGGTCGTAAAAATAAAGGTGTTTAAAAACGCAAACATGAAACGCTGCAAAAAGATGCGTTTTGTATCGTGATTCTGCAGATTCACGGTCGCTAAAAATCGCTTGAACGAACGGAGATCTCAATCATGATTCTATAACATCATTATCGTGGTCTGCTTCTGGTTAGGTCAACAGTAGATTGTTAACAAGTTGAGAAAGCACGCGACGAAGTTGACCTATACTTCCTCAGATTTTTACAGTAAACTGTGAATTCTTTTTCCCTTTACCTCCGTTAGAATCGTAGTTGGGCACACCATGGATGACGGCATGATGGAGAAAGAGGGGCGAGCTGTTGATCTGGATCGAGTTGGTAAGAAGTCCTGAGAAGTAATCGATGTAGCGCATCTGAGACGGGTGCATGCCACTCCAACCCTTGGCATCCAGGAACCTCTTCATAGCGTGACGGTCCATGGTCGAGTCATTCCTGTATGTGTGTGAGAGAGAGAGAGAGAGAAAGAAACTTAATAATGATTGGAGTAAATATCATACATAGAGTAAGTATTAGGCATGTGATATTCATCAAAGAAGATAATTCATAGAAGAAGAAAGAGATCACAAATAGAATAAGAATTATTGGGAGAGACAGAATGGCAAGATATTGAAATTAGGGTAGAGAAGGGAGAGAAAAGGAGAGAGGAGGTGAAAGAGAGAGAAACCAAAAGGAAGTTAAAAGGCAATATGAGGCACTATAGGGATATACTTACTCAAGAATGGAGGAAGGAAAATGTCCAAATAAATATTTAAACTCAGATATATGAGCTGCTACTGCCTATAAACTGATAGTTATATGGTACATACTGATACTTTACTCTAGGAAAGCCCTTCAGCTTCGTGTAAACCTTATAGAATGCAACAAAACAACGTACAAGAAGAAAAAAAAGGATAAAAAGATATTACTTACGCTGATGTGATGCTCAAATAGTTCATAAAGGCTGATACCACTACCCCTATGGGCCCTCGGCCACCCTGAAAATAAGAAGAATGATACGTTGAGAGAATATGACAATGTATCTAAGTAAAACAAAAAATGACAGGTGTAATCATTCTTGAAATAAACATGAAGGGATGAAGCCAAAAGTACTTGAACAAAATGGTCCAAGACCTACACTGTCAATCAATGTAAACAGAATAGGATTGAAGAGAATTTAATGACATAACAGCTCAAGTATCCTTTTCCCTTTGTTCTGCCTACTTCTTATTCATTATTTCATTGAGGGCAAGCTAGAAGGGCTTTAATTCTGTGTTGAAGTCAATGAATTCTCACAGCTCTCATGGTCATCCCCTCCATTGAGTGTGGAAAAATTGTCTCTTCAGTCATAAGTCACTTGAAGAGCCAAACAATTTGTCACTAAACATTACCTTTCCTATTTCAAGGGGCGTTTCACAAAACCTGTCATTAGTGACAAACAACAGTTTTTGTTATAAGCTACTGAAATCCTTGCTACTGATTGGTTATCAGCAGATTTGTCACTGATTTGTTTTGTCATTTGTCATTGAAAAAAGGCTTTGTGGAAACGCCCCCACCCCAGCTCTGTAGTGATGTTGTAAATGGGAAAAATTCACTCACCTTACAATGTAGCACCACAACATTGTTGAGGTTGCCCTTCATCCAGGTCTCCATCTGTTTGCAGATACTGCAAAGCCTCTCTAGAGGAGGAGCCAAGACATTGGGCCAGCCCAAATCACGCACCTTTCGTGGTAACAAAGAGAGGAAGAGTTTAGAGATTGCACTTCACAATTATTGTAAGATATGAACAGCCTTTTGTATGCTTCTAATCACCACCACTAATATGATCAACGTCTCTGTACCTAGGAAAATCATCATCATCAATATCATCATCATTACCAACATCACCATCATCTTCATCATCACAATCAGTATCATCGTCATCATCATCATCATAATCATCATCATCATCCTCATCATCATCATAATCATCATCATCATCCTCATCAGCAGTATCTTCACCACCATGATTATAATCACCATCACCATCATCACCAACACAATCATTATCATCAGTATCACCATCCTCAATATCATCATCTCCGTCATCACCACCATTATCATCATCATCACCACCATCATTACCACCATCATTTTTATCATCATCATCAGAAACGCCAACACTACCATCACTACCAGCACCACCACCACCACCACCCCCACCACCACCACCACCACCACCACTACCATCATCCTCACCTCTTGGTTTAGCTTGGATACATCATGTCTCCTCCTTGATAAATTGAAGACCACATAGCTGTTGTTATGTTTGCTCTTCAGCATACGAACTACATCACGCAGGTTGCTACGGTACTGGTTCTCAAGCCCACCAGATGGGAAAGACACGGCTACGGGAAAGAACAAAATCAGATGTGATATCAACTGATGAAATTGTCTTGTAAAATGTTCTTACTGAATTCAAACTACACACAGGCTTCTAAAAATAACATTAGAAGAATTAGAAGACAAAATTATCAGAAGTCGTGAATAAATAGTTGGAATAGTTTAAGTAAGTAAATAAATGAAAAATAATGCAGAAACTAACCTACTATATAATTTTTTTTTAATACAAAAAAATAGATAGATAGACAGATAGAAAAATAGATAAATAGGTATATGGAAATATAGATGGACAAATATACTAAGTAAATGAATAAATACAGTTAAAAAATTGAATTGAATGGGAAACATATTACCATACATTTTAAAGATTTATATGAGAGGTTATTCATGTACTTTAATTCTCATACTAAAAAAGGATGACCTGTACACAAATTTATAAATAAAAGGAAAATAGCAAAAGAAATCTAGTATATAATCCTACCAATTAATCTCTCTGTAATATAATCCACCTCTAGATCAAAGGAATATCTGACCAGTCCTTCTCCACTCCTAGAAAATAAGACAAGAAAAATATTGTTATTCATATCAAATGTCCACAGAAGGTGTATGAAAAATAAACACAATACAGTATTTACTAAATATGTTTGATTTGTAATTCAATACCTGTCCTCGCTTTACAAACTGGCAATACAATATTTTACTGTGATAAAACTGGCAATTCTTACAGCAACTTCGGCCACATCCGTTGGCTATGATATGATTTGTTTTGAGTTTTTATGCCCCTCTGATCCTACAACTGATGATTCAAGGGTTTGAGGCCAGAAATAGCAAAGTAAGAAGTGAAACATAACGTTGGTGCACAATATAACCCTATAATGAGATTCAAGCAGTATGCCACAAGTAGTTAAAGAGGGTTGTTTGTTAAAATTCACTGAACTCCATTCTAGTTAACTGTAGATGCCTTTGCAACAAGGTTTGTGTCAACTTGGTGTTTTCATTATTTGGTTCATTCTGAAATTTGGCATGATATGCATGCATGTATCTTCCATAGAAACAACCTTCACAATGTATAAATCTGTTTTTAAATAATAATAAGATAAATCGAATGGCCGCTTCTATATGAAACTGATAGTAGAAAATCTATTTCCTTGTGTTGGATTTATCCACCAATCGCACTAAAGAAGTTCATATACTCTAATCTAAGTAAGATGTAAAACTACTATTCACAACTACATTCTGCATAATTAAATAAATAAATGAATACTCACTTGATATTATTTATAGACTTTGTCTGTATGCTTTGGGGTTGTATTTGATGTTGAATCAGTGGTTGTGGTTGCTGCTGTTGGTGTTGTACTTGTTGCTGACGTTGTTGTTGCTGTGGTGGTGGTGCATGTTGTATCTGGGCTGTGGATTGTTGCATGATTGATGTAACAGGTTGCAGCTTGGGCGATTCATCTGGTTGCTGCATCTTGCGTGCTGTTGCCGGGGTGTGTGCTTGGCGGGGAGTGGATGGGGGTGTGGGCGTGGTGGGCGTCGACGGCGAGGAGGAGGGTTTCTTGCGCCGATTCTCAGACGGGGAGGATCCAAAAATGTACTTGCCTTCAGGAGAAACCTAATGCATTAATTTACATTTATGGAAATTAAACAGAAAACAAAAAAAGGTAAAGTAGACATTCAGGTTATATTTGTATTGATATTAATGGTAATGTTTTTTCTAAATAAATTTTTATTTGATAAAAAAAAATTATAGGTACATCTGTGTGACAATCAGATATATAATTATCAATTTCTTTCTTGAATAGGATATCCTGAGTACATTTATTTTTTATTTGAAATAGTACTTTCAAAAAGGTATAAAATATAAAGATATTTAATGGATATAATGATAACCTGTTATCTTTAGAATGATGTAACATCTTCAAACTTTCAAACAATGTAGTTTACTTTAAGAATGTTTCTTCCTTTCTCTCCAATTCATTTGTTTTGAATTAATTATTAAAAAATGTCAGAATTCCAAGGATATATAGAATACCCTATAATTATGAGTTAAATTAGAAACCATGACGTAAATGGTTTATTCCATGCTGATACATGTAAACGTTCAATGTCAGTGTGATATTCACATGCAATTCCATGACATGTATCTATAAATTCATGGGCTGCATGAAGTAAAAAAATTCTTTGGAAACATATTTCCCCATCATACAGTGATCCAAATAAGGTAAAATGGTAATACCCCAGCTCCCCCTTTGTAAAGAAACTCCTCACACATGCTGTGTGTTATGCTATGCTAATATCATGGACTACCATGTACTTTTCAAATTCTTGCCTCTCCCTTTTTAGACCATCATGGAATCGACAATGCTAAAGGCCCGGTCACACAGCCTTTCGCGTCTGTATCGCGGGTAAAATTTCGCGATTTTTTTTTTGCCCGCGGTTGCCTGTGGTGGAAAATGTGCAAAATTGGCTTACCTGCGGTTTACCCGTGGTATGCCCGCGGAACAGACGCCGGCGACTGTTCCGCGTCCTTATCGCGGGTGAAGCGCGGCGGTACCGCGGCCTACCACGCTTACACGCGGTACACACGCTAATGCACGTGATAACAACGTGGTACAGACGCGGAACAAACGTGCTATGACCGTGCTCCACCCGCGATTACCCGCTAAAATTTCGCGTCCAATTCCGCGTGTAACCACGTCTTAACCGCGGCCGTAGCACGTCCTAGCACGTTCGTTCCGCGTCTGTACCGCGTCTTTACCGCGTGTGTACCACGTGTACCGCCCGCGATTACCCGCGGTCTAAATTTTTGGGCAGCCCAAAACTTTTTCGCGCGGCTAACCGCGTGTGAATTTCTTACCGCGTGTAACGACGGGTAAAGTACGGCTGTATCGCGTCTTTATCACGACCTCAAAGCGTCCAACAGCGTCTGCTTCACGGGCAGAAATTTTTGGCCGTGATTCGGCCGCGATACGCCCGTGGAGGGCTGTGTGACCGGGCCTTAATGAGTAAAATACTGTTTTTTTCACACCACGACAGAGATCAGTTTGGAAAAGGGACAATACTATTTAATTTTATCACTGATTTCATTTGTTAGATTTCATCATACATGTAAATTAACCACTTAGGGAACAAAGTTTCAATTTCCAGTACTTAAATATGACTTAAAATATCATTTGAAACATGACTTATCCTTTGATTTAAAAATATTCAAGTTTACGCTTTTTCTTTCCTTATTTGTTTTAATTTTTAATCTATAATTCAAATCACAGCATCTGGGAAATCCATAGACCTCCCATATAATGCTTATAAAATTAATCTCCCCAATTTGCTTTCAATTTCTCTTACTCTGCTAATATAATGGAGCTAATAATATAATGAGGGCATCGCAGGAAACGAAAATTCTGGCTAACGTATCATGGAAATTCAGAAAGGAAAAGAAGGGATTAGCATCTTGTGAACAACTTCCTTTCCCGTGATTGGATTAAGATGTTTCTAACCCTATCGCCCCCGTGAGGCGAGATCTTGCTAGACGAATCGTGTATGATGTACAGTAACGCTGAAGATTATTGCAAACTCTGAGTTGCTAATTATCTTTTTTTTTTGTTGAAAAATGCTATTCAATCTTTTAAGAAATGTTATTTAAACCGGCAGCCTTAAACAATTTGCTGAAAAAAGAAGGCATAAGAAATGGGGAAACTGATTGATGACAACAGTTTTGGGGGTGAAACCTGAGAACAGTAATAAAACTTATGAGTTGGCAACATTGCCATGAGATTGTATGAGCTCGCTACTCACATTTCCCAGGTTGTTTTCTGAACTTTCAATTATTGCAACATTATTCTTAAAGGGATCCATTTTTCCCAACCCAGTGCCAAATTCACTTATAGGCTGGTCTGTAATATTATCGAATACCAATGTACTTTTTAATAAAATGTCCAACACAAAATAAATGTTTGATGAGGAAATATTTGTAGTTTGTCTCCATTAGACTACAATCTGGATCTGAAATTATGAAACACTCATAAATTTCTTGTGATGTATCCAAATCCCTGAACCTTTCTTTGATCTGTTTCTCCAATTTTGTCTGCATTTAATTAAAACAACCACTTTGGGGACTTGACTCCCCCTCCATATATCTTCATTTGATGAAATAGTACACAGAAACTAAACAGCAAAACTGTATTCATGCTATTTCCACACATGGAGTTAATTGTGAAGATGTTTTCATTCAATGACTGAAATATAGAAGGAGAGACAGTTTCTACAAACAACTGGTAAACAAGTCTATCAAATGAAACAGGGGGGCAAAGTATCACCCATCACGTACCCCTCTACCAAAGTCTCCTGATTAATGGTAGACAGATGACAGAGATGAGCTTATCTTCGCTACAGGCAGGAGGAACATAATTTGACTTAAGTCCACAATGGCTCTATTTCATGCACTTAGGGAGTAGATTTTATCGTTTGGGAATATATTAGAACAATGTGTTTATCCCACCCCAACCCGAGGCAGCTTTCTCACTTTCGATTTGGATAATGTTTTGTGACTACCAACAAAATATAGAGATGCAAAATGGAACAGAATGGCATGAAATAAAAAGAAACATATACATGAATAGAGAGTAATAGAAGGAGAAAAAGAATAGTAGAAAATGAGAAATTGAGGAGACATAGAAACTATAGCATCTCTTTCATTGATTTTCATTTAATAGTTGAGAGATTAGGGAGCTAGAAGGACATTAACCCATATACTTTTTCGTTGAGTTTATTCCTTTCTGAAGTCTGGCCCTCGACAAACAATATCTATTTCAACAAACAACAAACAAAGATGAATACTGGCGAGGTTGCTAAAGCATCTCTTCTCCATTTAAGCACATCTCTGTACAGATCTCCTTATTGTGCAATGCAGAGATACAAAAGTGGATATTAATGATCGTACCTTCTTCTTAAGATTTATGGATTACTAAAAGAGACAATAACGAGTAAGGAAGACATGCCTACGTGCAAACTCTGCTTACACAGACGTCAATTGGTAACCACAATTTATGGCCAATTTGAGGCGGTAGGTGAAATAACCCAGTAGATAGTGTAAGTGCTTCGGAATTGAAAAAGAGAAGTGCTCTCCGTCAGTTAATTGAGTAGAAATACTGTTGTTGGAAACCGTATCTAAGGATTCATCAGGACTTTGACACATTATTTGCAGGGGTGGACAGGGGACATCACACAGCATGGAATTTATAGGAAGGGGGAGGGGAAAAAGCCTGGGGGCAATGTGGGAGGGGGTGTCTACCCACTCAAAATTTCTTTCAGCAGATTTTTTTTTGTTTTGTTTACCCTTGTCTGCAAAAAGAAGTCTTTTTAGAATTTTTGCTTGTTGGAAATTGTTTGCCTAACATATCTGCAAAGTTTGGTCACACACCCCAAACAATTTTTTGGGGTCTAATGATTCCCTTATGGGTGCCAGGAAGAGTGGTCCTTTTGTTGGGGGGGGGGGGGGGGGGGGGGTTATCATCAATATTTCCTTTTTCTGGTAGTTTTTTCAGGAAAAAAGGGAAATTTATGAAGGCAAGGGCAGTAAAGATTAGACTGGTTGTGTAAATGTCTGACTCAGTTTGTCAGTGCCATAAATTAATAATGGTTGCTGGCTTCAGAGAGAAGCTTACTATCTTGGCTTTGATAGGTGAAACAAATTTTATGTCAATTATCACAAATTCTGGGAAATTTAAAAGTGCTAGCAGATTTATTAACAACAGGTAACAAATCATTTTCTATTCAAGTAAATGGGCAAAGATGATATTAATATATATTCATGGATAATAATGAAAATCATCATAATTCTTCCTAAATGATAAATATGAGACATCTTCCAGTTTTCTATCAAAATGAAATTCCATCACATGCTTTACACACACTGTGTGAACTTAATACAATGATAATACAATGGTATGTACAGAGATGTCTTGTGGATTATTTCAATTAAAGATAATTGGTTTGAGAATTGATTTATAGAGGGAAATGAGGATTACAAAAAAAAAGTCAAATCTTTGCCAACATTCTTCATTCTTTGAACAAGTTATATCAATCACTAAGACCAATATATTGTAAGTCATAAGGATGATAACACTTATATATAAATTCACTGATTCCCATAGTTAAAACACATTGAAATAAATAAATATCAAATTTAATTGGAGTAAGCATCCATTTGTATTCTACAAATGTAAATGTAAAACAAAAAATGACTTTAAACAGTACAGAAGGAAACAATTTTAAATAATATTTTTTTTTAGAAGACATATATTACCACTCTCAAACTTAACCATAAAATACATCTCAGATTTGAAAAATATGTGGTTAAGATTTATGGGAAATGATTACCAAGAAAGGGAACACGCTGAAATTTCTCTTTCATTTCTATTTTTCTAAGTATCCTTCCAGAAACAACTTATAATTTTTTTGTCAAATGGTTTGAGGTTCACCATGAAGACGCAGACTGGTTGTCTGATATGAACAAGGGCTGCAATAAAGATTAGACAAATGGAATTAACCTGGCTTACAGGCAAAGTCAGATTTCTCATTCTCAATGAAACCATGCTGAACTTGAGCTTTATAGAGTAGACCAACCATACCCAGAGATAAAAATTAGTCTACTAACATTAATCTTCAGACTCAACTACATGCATATCATTGAGAAGGGGGAAATTCCTTTGTCTGAGAGGCAGGCTAAATACTGGCATGATGAAAACAATGTAGAAAGCATGCCAAGTTCCAGTCTTAATAATTAAAAAATACAGATGTCATTCTGAAATTCATTTTTCTTTATTTTGGTCAACTTTATTTCTTGTTTAAGCAGATGTCATCTGTATAATATTTACAAAGCAACATAGATGGAGTCATTATCAAATGACACACCATATGTATATATTTGTTATAACAATTAAAATATCTGTCCCTAAAATAAAGAAAGTAAAATGAATTTCAAAATACCACCCTGGTTCTAATTTTCACACAGCAATATGACATGGTTCAGTCCAGTAATCTAATGAAAGATGGGAATGAGATTAAGATTAAGATTAAGAAGATGGGGCATAACATGATGATGGATGGGGTGGGGGGGGGGCAGGGTTGCACGATGTACAAGACCTACCCTGGGGGATCTTGGAGATTTAGGAGACCCGTGTTTAAACTTCTCATTCGTCTGTGGAGATTTTTAAAAGAAACATTTATACACCATGTGAAAATTCCCATGTAGGAATACTGTTGAGGGTATTACATGTGTTATCTTTTATTAGAAAAAAATATAAAAAAATAATCTGGAGAGAGAGAGAGAGAGAGAGAGAGAGAGAAGGCAAAGATCAGAGAGAGAGAGAGAGAGAGAAAGAAAGAGAGAGAGAAGAGAAAGAGAGAGAGAGAGAAAGGGGAGGGGGAGAGGGAGGAGAAGAGAAAGACAGAGAAAGAGAGAGAGAGATAGAGAGAGAGAGAGAGAGAGAGATAAATAGAGAGTATTGAAGAAAGATCCTACATTTAACCCTTTCTGAAGAAAAAATTGCCTTCTTATAAAAAGAAATACCAAAACGATAAAATTGATAAAAGACCTTTTGAAGCAAAAATTATATGTGACAGTGGTTTGTTGAATTACTATCACAAAGCGTGCCTGAAATATTTGTCTCCTGGAGAACTTTGGTGATACAAAGAACAAATAAGGCTGAGGGGAGCAGTCAATGACATATCAATCAAGGTTTACATTGGAGCTGCTACAAATATATCAAGAAAATACAAAAATACATAAATCATACCCAATGCCCATAGGAGAGAAAAAAGGGACAGGTTAAAAATCATTTTTTTCCAAACTAAAACTATAAATGTCTGGTACAAATCAAACGCTTTAGGTTCAAATCTCTCTATGCTATGAATATATTTCAACTTTCTTTTTCACTTTCAGTGAGGATAGAACTTGCTTGTTTGGCAATTTAACTAAGGAATAAGATAAATCATATAAAGATAAATTACTAATGCATGTTACCCTTCTTCTGATTATATAAGAACCTCTTAAACTAAGGAAATGATGACAGGATAATTCAAACAAAGACAAATTAAATTCTTGTACAATAACCCAATTTCATTTAAAAGCCGAACAGTAGTTTGAAATTTCCCGAGATGACATAAAGTTCTCGGGAGATCTCCTAACAACTGCCAATCTCAATAAATGGTCCATAACGGGACATCTGTTCCTGGATGGAGACAGATCTAACTATAAAAAAATGACCGCACATAATATTGTCTGTTGAGAGCCAGAAGGGCATTACTTCTGTACTAAAGTATATGAGTTAATGCCTTTCTGGCTCTTAAACAGATGATGCTTGCTAAATCAATGACCATGCTATATATATATATATATTGGGGGTCAATATGGTATCACTACCACTACCAGCAGATGTTTTAGACAGGGGAGGTTGTATTTGTTTGAATAATAATATATGATACTAAATACAGAGATATACTTTTAAGGTCAGGTGGTGCAATGATATGGTTACATTTGAGAGGTATACAGTCATGTAGAGCCTACAAAGACTGATACTTTAATATACATTAACTCTGGCTATAGAAGTAGAAATTACAAACGTTGCAACATAGAAGGATCACAGTAATTCATACCTTTTCTTTGTACACTTTTTGTGGATTCTAGGGATACAGGTTGAGAAGGGGAAAAATTGTTGAAATTAAAAAAATATATAAATATATAAAAGACTTACCGTGGGAGACTGAGGTAGACATGTTGTCATAACCTGTAAAAATTAATAAGAGAAAGAAAATAAAAGTTGTGAATTAAGTACAAAACAAGAAACAACAAGTTAAATAATCAACTTTCTCCAATGTAAGGAATAATAGCAAAAAAATACATGCGATGTGTGATAGGTAATAAGCAACCATGCATATCAATTGGTAGTGACACTTCACGATCAATGCTAAATTTGAAGTAAATGCATTCATTAAGTTATCTTCTTTAATGAAAGAGCCAGAAAGTCCAAGCTTTTGCGCACCTTCCCCTTGCAGTACAGTACAAGTTTGATCCACCACAATTTCACTGTCCTCACTGTCAGAATTCTGAGCAGTTCTGCCCAAAACACTCCCAAATGAAGGGGTTTTGTACATGAGACAATGTTATTTCGTATCCGGCTGGATACAAGCCATACTGAAAGTGCATGAATGATGAATAACAAATCATTCTGCCGATAGCCATAAATGCTCTCCTATATCCTTTTACATAAAGATAACCAGCTCTTATCCTTCTCTATAATTGAAATGTTCTTGAGCATTCTGCTGTAGAATGCTTTTCATCCTCCAGATGGGCCCACCAGGCTCGTAAAATATATTTCATGAAAAAAGGTAGACAAAATAAACTGGAAAAATCCTACACTTTGGGCAGTTGGATGGGCATACAACCAATCTCCACCTAGCACAACTTTGGAAATAGGGTGCGTTTATAATACCATTTTTTGCCTAGCATCAACGTTTCCAAACCTGTTTCATGCAAATGTTTATGGTGAAAATGCGACATCCCGCAGATCACATATAGTGGGGTTCGATATGTACATATAGAAACGCTGATTCTGAGTGGCAAAACATGATAAACGCACCCTTAGACTCTCCTGGTTAAAGTCTCAAGGTCACAACGTTAATAATGGAACATTAATTTAATATATAAAAGATTATATCATTTCTCTTGCATATGAAAACAGGAAGAGGAATGCAGTGTCAGCCCACTTAAGAGTTTTGCGTCATTAACCACACAACCTGGTCATTGTCATCACAAATAGGACTAGGACTATAGGATGGTCACAGGTCACTTGGATAGATTTAAAGGGACATGTCAGCAGAAATAAAGAGAGAGGAATTTATGGAATATATATGTAGAAGAATACCCAATCAATATTTAAATTAGTATATTTACAGTGTAGATCAATATTCTATATTCATATTGCTTTGATTTTGTTGGAAATGTTTGATAAAGTATATGGGACTACATCTGGGATTATTAATGTATCACTGGACTAGTAAAATGTATGTCATTCTTCCAAAATATTAAAGGGTTTGAGTTTTGAAAGTTTTCAATAATTTCATTATTTGAATTCCAAAAAGAAGAAGAGATGCCATCTCATATTATAGGAAGATATCACAATTATTAATTAACATTTTTAATATATGAAAAATATGCAGAAAATATGAAAGACATGATTCGTGGTTTGAATCCCTGCCACAGCACTAATATGGTCCATTGACAAGACATTTCCTACATTTGCCACTCTCCACCCAGGTGAAGTAAATGGGTTCTTGGTAACTAGGCCTTCTGTCACATTCTCCTAAAGTGTATGATTGATCATACAACCTTGTTACTCCTTGATAGAACATAATTGACCTTCAAGAAGGAAAGTGAAATTCCTATGATGTCCTCATCAGCTGGGAATCCACTGGAATTATAAATAGCCACATTATGAGAAGCAAGAAATGCCTTTGTTATCGAGATACTTTGATGATCTAGCTTTAATTCTCCATGATGAAGAACTTCCTGACAACGTGAAATATTTCCTAATGTTTGTTAGAGGGGCAAAGTTTGGGCTGTAACATCGAGGAAGTCATTCTAAAGTCCAGATTAGTTTCGGAGGTACCCAACATTTATTGCTTCTCCGTGCTTCCTTAAAGGCATTGTTTAACAGTTTTACAAATTTGAGATGCATGGCCCTACGTGTTATCAGCGTCTGTGATATGGTGTAATATTAAAACCCTAAAAAATTGTGCTTCAAAATAATCATGAAGTGCCTCAAAAAGTAAAAATCTTTGAGTGACCGGCTTTACCATACTCATATCCCCCAATAGACTGTAGTGTTATAACACCGTTGGGAAAACGGTTTTTGAAATTTCAAATTCCAATCATGAGTCATGGGATTCCTGACTGACCTTAAGGTTTATAATTATGATTGCAGCATGAGCTAAATCCAGGATTTTGTTTAGAATCTGAGGCAAAGATACCCAATCCCTTAGAAGGGCTAAATGAGTCGAGGAGGAAGAATGCTAGCCGATAATGAAATTTGTCAAGATTTTAATAAATCTTAAGATGATTTTGTTTGATCTTAAAGACTGGTACATTAATGCTACTACTTTGCTTACCAAGTAACAAAATAAAAAGGAGTTTAGAATATCTTGAAAGACAAATTATGCAGGATTAAGATAAATCAAGGAGTATCAATTTGGTCCTTGGGGCAGATTGGTCCTGGGCTAAAGAAGTTGTCAAATCAAGTCCATTAATATTAGGGATGTTTTGAAAATATATATTCTGAAAAAAACTTGAAATACGGAGCCTCAAAGCATTGACTTTACTCGAATGTACACACTAGTAAAGGAAAGAAATATGAAAAATGTAAGCGAAGACAGAAAATCTTAAAAGTTTGTGATGATTGATTTAGCGAAGATAGAAGGAGTAATGCTTCAAAAGAATTTAGCCCATTCATAAGAACTACTTATGGTACCAAAGTTGTCAACTTTCACTGCTATCAAAAAGTGTGCACATGCAGTCTGAATGGTGTAAACACATAAGCATTAATAAATAATTTAAAGTACAATAAATTGGTAAAGTATATATTATAGGTAGCTATTCTCCATCTCAAATTGTAAGCCATGCCATAAAGAATACCTAGAAGGGGATTTTGACAACTTTTGTTGTTGAAAAATTATTGTTCTGATATCAAACAACACTGATACATGCAACCAAGGGTATTATTGGAAATGTATAGGGGAGAGGGGGCTGGTAAGCCACCCCCTCCCCCACCCCCCCCCCCCCAAATGGAAAAGAGGCACTCTCGCAAATCTTTGCTCACTCTTCAACGTACTGCTGTATGTCAGGGCCAAGAGGAGAGTTGTCCAGTCATTTCATATACTTAGAGCCACTCTCAGAGATGACATAAAGATGTCAGTTTGGTCTTGTGATAGATAAAGAAAGGGCACAGATTTGTGAGGGGCCTCTATAACTTGGGGCCTCTAATCCCCCTCCCCTACTCTTTTCTTTATCATGCCACTCAGTACAGAGTAGTGGAGTTTACAAACTTTTGATAATTAGCTATGAAACTCAAAATTAAGATTTTGCTGTCGGTAGTTTTACACTTCAAATTAATCTATTATTCAAATCAATAATATACTACCTTTAAAAACTTGAATGTCATCTGCTGTGAAACAAATGTATTTCTCCTGGTACATAATGCCAATTATTCAAATCAAACATTTTCTGTTTCATGCAATGTGATACGGTATTTCCTGTTCGAAACTCTCCGCCAGAAGGTCGATCGGAAGCACATTAATGAAACCCAGGTTGTCTTTGGTACGTCCTTTTCTGTCATTACATCATGTACTTGCCAAGTGATTAATAAAGGATGATTTGCCAGTAAGGGCGTTGACTGTATATTAAAGGTATAGACCAGTTTTGGAAACGTCCCCCTCTCAAAAAATGAAATGGAAGCTCTTATTACCAATCATGTGAAAGCATATGTTTTGACTAATACGTGATCATACAAATTTTGCCGGGAAACCGCCTACTAATTGATATATTTGGTAAATTATCATATCGATCCGGCCTGGATAGATATCGGGAATGCACTTCAACATCGAACATTTGGGCATATATTTCTTCTTTTTTTTTGCAAAGTTAGGTTGAAGTATTGTCTTCTAAACCTCTGAAGGCAATATTTTAACAATATTGAATGGATGTTTTGCACCCGAAACCCTTGAACCTCAATTTTTACAACTACCAGTCTATATATCTTTAAGTATACTAGTGCATTAACACCCTTCTCAATCTCAGCACCACATAAAATAGGCAATAAGTATCAAAAAGTTGGAACAGAGCGGAATTATCAACCGATCTAGTTGCAGTGAAGCATTCATGGAAAAATAAAGCCTTGGAAGGTTACACGTTGTATGAATCATTTTAATTCTTAATGCACATTTATCCAGTATGTACACATATGTGTAGGAAAGCAAAGTGGCGACAGACTGATACAAAGTACACTGACCTAAAAGCCATTTATCGTTTTCCCAAATGACAGTGCTTACATATCGTCGCTGTTTTCACGAAGTGACGGTAGTGAAAAAAAATTGCATTCACTTTGCGTTACGATTTTCCTCACTACCGTCACTTCGTGAAAACAAGGACGATATGTAGCCTAGAATGGGTTTCCTCCGTCTTTCTCACTGGTACAACTCCCAATTATTTGACATTAGTTTCCTTATTCCATCCTCTTACAATCCTACTCTTTCTCTCTCAATATCTTACATAAATTATATTTTTATCTCACTTCAATCTCTATATTCTATATGTCTAGCTTTCTGTTAGTTGATTTTTATCGTTATTTTTCTCACTCTCTCTATCTCTCTCATTTTTCCTTCTTCTTCTTCATCTTCTTCTTCTGCTTCTCCACCTCTCTCTTGTCTCCCCCTCTCCCTCCCTCTCTCTCTCTCTCTCTCTCTCTCTCTCATTTTTACTTCTTCTTCATCTTCTTTTTCTGCTTCTTCTGCTTCTCCACCTCTCTCTTGTCTCCCCCTCTCCCTCTCCCCCCCCCTCTCTCTCTCTCTCTCTCCCCTTTTGCTTGATATTTGCCTCTTCAAGAAGACAGACAATGTCGACACCAATGAGAAAGGTTACAGAAAGTTGAATGACTTCCAGCACTAAGGCTGGGCACTCGACTCCTGCCAGCATTATCTAAGGACCTCGTTGAACTTTCTCTCAAAACACCATCATCCATATGGCATTATATTTAAAGTGCATTGCATAAGACACAGCGTGTACTTCATCTGTCTAGTTTTCAAGTACAAACCTTCGTCAGTGCCAAAACATAAAACGCAAGGTCTGTGGACTATACTAGCTTTAGACAAGCACTTACATAGGCCCTGTACTGTAATCAGTCATGGATGAATATCAACTTTGTTTTTTTTAACTGTCTAATTACTGTCCTTAGTGGTTTGTTACTCTTAGTCATGCATGGTCGATCATAGCACATTCACTCCTTCTATTGCGGCAATGTGAAAAATCACTCTTGATTTGACAGAAATTCTTTGTTGGCAAAGCTACACATGACTAAATCGTCCAATAAAACAGACACCATGAGCTCATCTATTCATCCTCATCATCTAGCGGTCACTCCTAAAAAGGCTTTTTGTTTGATAACATGCCATTTTGCTAATGGCGAATTGGCAACACACAATATGACAAATATGTAAGCACACCTATCATTAGTCCTAGGACAACAAAGAAAAACAAAACACCAACAGCAAACAAGCACACAAACATACAATATGTTTGTTGATACTGGAAAACAATGTAGGTGCCAACTGGTAATGTAGCAATTAACTCCTTCCTATAACCATGAAGCTGATGTTGCCTTCAATCAAGACAAGGTATGTTTTATTTTATGTCAAATCAGAGTCTGATCTTGCAGACTACTAATATTTGTCAACAAGAAAAAAACAATAAGAATGTAAGAAACTTCACAGCTTGACAGATAGATCCTACACCAAGAAAATACCATCCTCTCACCTCCTACCCAAAATACATCACTACGACTTACCAAATTAGGTGAGCTCCTCGGCCAAAAATATTTCCTAGAAAAGATATTCATTCTAGCAAAGCCGTCCTATACTGGGCACAGCAGCCGAGTTATGGTTGGGAAATTCCAATAAAATAGTCGGTTTCCACAATTGCTCGCACCATGCTGGGTTTGGGCATGCTAAATATGAAAGCTTGCTGCAGCTCCCGGCGCTAAGCTGTCACAAGTTATTCCAGTGTCAGGGCAAAATATACATTACGGTCTGTTCAGCTTGAGCGTTACATAGCTGGATTGGTGTTTTACCCTTTTCACATGAGAAATTTAAGACACCTTTAGAGAGAAGACTGGCAGGGTCTTATCACTTGGAAGAGCTAATTAGGTCTGCGAGAGGTAGGACGGTGTTATCTTTATCTCAAGGATATGACATTTGATTTTACATTTTAACAATTTGTTATCTGAATTTTAATTTCCTGTCTTATACACAGAACATAGGCCTAAATCATGATTATATGCTATCTAATTCTAATCATTATAAAACTTCCACACATTTGATTTTAAGCCATAAATGATAAACTCATATACCCATAAAGCTTTCATTAAAAGAGAAGGAGTGACACAATTCAAATGTAATTTACAGGTATTTTTTGTGTAATATTGTGCGATTGCAATTTGAAAACATTAGCCACTAAAGGTACCAACACAAAATTGTTGACAGCTGGTCCATACCAGCAGTCCCTGTAAGGAGGTCTCAAGTAGAGGCCACTCAAACTGGTTTGCTGCTGTTCAAATTATGATATATATCACCACTCTATTCATAAACAAAAACAACACATGACACAAAAGAAATTTCTACATCACAATCTAATATTTTTTTTTGCGAAATAGTTCTTTTAGTGACATCATCATATACTTGGAAAAAATATGAATAAGATTACATTACAATGACTAATCAGTTTTGTCTATCAGGCAATATTTATGGCAGCCAATATGAGAGAGAGAGAGAGAGAGAGAGAGAGAGAGAGAGAGAGAGAGAGAAATGGGATATGGAAAAAGTATGAAACAACATTGTTAAATCACTTGTAGTTGTGTATTCAAAGCTACAACTTCTAATGTTTCATACCATTAATACATTATGCTAATCCATAGACATCTTTTACATTAAACTTCAAAGCATGTGAGCAACTAGCGCCTTCCATATCAGAAACAAAATCAATATACAATTTCATGGGCGATGAAACACAAATCATCAATCAAAGTGGATTAAAGATTCAATGAAAAGAAACTTAATTCTTAACCCCTTTTATCCCCATTATGCTATTGTTATTTCAGCAAAGCGTGTTGATCTATTGATATTGCTGTATTCAACAAAGGTTTATATTTGGTATCAAACTTGTGATAAAATCTGTGTTTACATTACATTCATGTATATTATGTTTGCCATGATTGAAACTCCCTTTTGAGAAAAAATCTCCCTTTTTATAACTTGCAAGATAAAATTTAATAAATGGGCTTCTCTTATAAATTCTAAGGGGCCAGAGAATACTAGCGAGGAAACAAATACAATTTATTTCACTTTTTTGTGGGACTTTGAACGAAAATAACCATGACATAAATTTCAAAGCACATTTGATAACATAATTTCATGTTTCTTGTATTTTTTTGTAAATATGACAATATTTGTTTCCTGACTTTTTCCATGTTCTCTTTTTACAATAAAAACTTAATTGAATTGAATTAAAATCCTGCGTTTGGCTCATATTCCCTAATATACAGTCATTGATATTGTAAATACAAAGAGTAGAGCGATGAACCTAAGGTATAACAGTTGCTATTTTACAAAGAACAGATGATTTTATATTACCTGAATCTAAGACTACAAACATATAATTTAAAAATAACCAACAGTGTGCACCCATACAGTCACACACACATATCTAGGACCCAAAAGGACCATGATTTTTGATAAATATAGGACTACATACCTTGCTTTTTATGACACATTTCAGAGAATGCAACCAGTACTAACAAGAAAACAACTGTTACACTACGCAAATAATAACCACAGTAGCGCTCTCCAGAACTTCAGACCACATCTGTAAATGCAGCGACCTTTACTTTTCTAATTTGGTCTGACCCAGATTTCGTGGCAGCCCCCCCCCCTTTGCCCTTGGCATTGGTGTTACTTTCGACCCCCTACACAGGCTTCTTGGGGTCGCAGGGTCAAATTCTCTGTCAAGAAAGTTTACGAAGCCCTTCTTAGCCTGAAATGTGGTCACCATGGCAATACGGTTGCCAAGTTTTGATGGAGTTTTCATTTCAAGTTTCATAACATGGATTTAGTGGGATTACTACCAGCATAGCGTGTGTTAACAGCTTGGATGCGTAATAATCGCTATTCTTTTGGATGTAGACCAATGCAAGGTATACCACATCTAATCGTGAAACAGATACAAAATTATTTTTAAATTTGTATTTGCTTATCTGCTTAATAATGACAATTTTTCAACCTTTTATCCTCATCTTACACCTCACTTTCATTCTTCTACCTCTCTCTTTCTTTGTCCTACTTTACAAACTTCATATTCATTTCTAAATCACTTCTGAATCTTTTGTTTTATGCATTTGTAATAGTATTCCTATATCTTCACTTTTGCCAAATATGCCAAATATCCCCCATTTTCAAGAAAGTAAGACAAATTTCATTTTTTTTCTATATCATCTGGTCAGATGCCAAAGGGAGTTACCGCTATGTTAAAGTTTATGAGTTAATACCCTTCTTTCTGGCTCCAAACAGACAATGTTAAAGGTAAAGACCAGTTATGGTTATGCGATTGCATTGTAAACGAAACGTTGTGGAATCGATCAGAAAAGGTTGATCATCTAGCATATAAGTATTGGTGTGTACTGCAAGGTTCTGGAATCATCAAAATGATAAGAAATTTGGCCAAGTCTTCGTAAAGTTACAAGCACTGTACACAGAAAGATGTATATGGGACTATACACACACGTGCGCGACACGTGCATTTATCTCTCACAGACCATGTAGATAAACTAATTTACCAAATATATCAATTAGTAGGCGGTTTCCCGGCAAATTTTTTATCATCATGTATTAGTCAAAACATATTCTTTCACATGATTGGTAATAAGAGCTTCCATTTCATTTTTTGAAATTGGGGCGTTTCCAATACTGCTCTTTACCTTTAAGTCTTCATTCAAAAAGTAACTTGCAGGATCCCAATTGCTTCTTAAACCAAACTGAATTTATCTCAAATAAATACCTCAAACAAGAATACATTTTTAAATATTTACCTTTTTATTTTTATAGCAGTTGAGGTACTGGACAAGGTGTTTGGCCTCTTTAGCCATGATGGCAGATTATTTAGTTGCTTTTTCTGAAGGTCCGATGAGGCAAAGACGAACCTCAAATTCATATATGCCTTGCGGTAATTGAAAAAATTATGTATGAACTACCGATTCTATTTTAAATGTGAGAGAGGGAGGGAGGGAGGGAGGGAGGGAGAGAGAGAGAGAGGGCAAATGAAGAAATTCTGTATAGAAAATTGAGAAAATGCTGGAATGGAGAAAGAAAAATAGTGACTTGGTAGAGTGTATTAATATGGAGAAAATAGGGAGAATTGTGAAGGACAGTATTGGAGGGAGAGATAGGGAGATGGAGATAGACTGAGATTTTGAGAGGACAGAGAGCAAGAGAATAGAAGAGACAAAAACACAGAAAGAGAATAATTGATTTGCCTGTGTTTTCTCAGACTACAGTGTGATGTGAAATTGATTGCTGAAGTCATCGGAGAGACGGATTTTAAATGGAGTGAGATCCCTTTTATTCTGAAGAATCAATATCGATGGTAGCTAGATTCAAAGTGCTCTGGTATAGGGCCGACGTCAAATGCAATAGATGGTGCTAAGACAATGTCTCGTCAGAGACAGATAATGCTCTCCAGTGACCACATTCCAATAAAAGAGCAGTTCCTCCATAAAATCATGAAATTCATGCGCAATATTCCGTCTGATAAATCCTCAATGTACATATCCAATGGCTCTATCACTAGTCTGTATGAAAACAGCCGAGGGCAAAATACCCATGCAAGTTCAACTGCAGTTCTTTTGTATTTATACAAAATTTCACTCCTAAACAAGAGAAGCACCAACAAAATATGAACATCCTTTGCTTCATGCACAGTGGTTAAATTTTTTTTTCTTCCTAGATGAAAACTTGATAATCTCAAAACAATGAAAGAGTAGTCACAAGTATCCTTCTACTGGGTAAATCTATACCCCTATCTCATAGGCGGGATTAAATCAAAACAACTTCCCATACGGTTTCCTGTCTTACACAGTCCAATGATATTTGATAATGGCAGAAAAATGTGCCACTGTTTTTGCCTACTTTGTTGTTGTGTTGTGTTCAATGCGTTGTGGGTGTAACAAAAGAGAGAGAAAAAAAAAGAATACTGGTACTGGTATATATATATGGTCATAGGGAGGGTCATCCAGGTGCGGAGTGGACTGCAGTGACCAAGATGTCAATGGCCATTGGCTAGATCCTCAACTGTTTTTTCCAAAGATTACTCCTACGTCACTTTTGGAGACAACCCTGCTTGATTAGCAGACAGTGAAGGATTCATGTAGGAGTTTTTTCTTCCTTTTATGAACTCCCTTTTGTCACAAATATGAGATGCATCTTTAATTAATTGGCTGTCTAATTCTAGTTTACCAGTCATACTCGGATAAGCCATTCTTTTAATTCTTACTTTATTTTACATTTCGGTTCAATACGAGCAAAATGCAAAGTAATACATTTTTACATGAAACAAACATTGACCTAAATTGCACTCCATATATACTAGTATAGGGGGGTGGGGGTAGTAAGAGGGGAAATTTGCCCTTCCCTTTCAAAAAAAAAAAAAATCTGATGAGAAGAAAAAATGTAAATATTCATACAGTTAAAAAAATATACATAAGTCAATTGTTACTTCATACACCAATGATGCTAATCATAGGTCATTACAGCGAATCTCCACAAGAATATGAGTACACAGGATCTATGCATCTATGAATAAAGCCAAATTAAATTAAAAAATAGGATAGATACATAACATGTCTGCTTTGCTAAAGCTTACAACTGTAAAAATCTTTCTCCCAAGGTGAATCCACTTGCAAGGTATTATTTCATTGACTGTACCTCGATTCAAGCTTAGTGCACAGAGACAGAAATAAACAAACAAACAATTTGTCGTCAATGCATCCATCACGACATGCATTAGTAGGCATGGGGTTTGTTTGTTCTAGATGATATGAATAGCTAGCTACATGTCTATGATCAATGGCTCTCAGGCTGCCAATCCCATATTCTTCCTGTTTTCACAAATAAACATGTTTTAAAAAATATATTTTTGCTTCAGGTTACCTGTCATTCTTTACCCCCATTTGTATATTTAAAAAAATATCTTCTTACTAAGAATATAATAAATAAATCACTTTTTCCAGGGGGAATATACTTCATAATTGTCTACCTTCCCTGTCATTTTATGGAAAAAATGCAGGCACCCATAAACTGCATATATTATTTTGGAAAGAAAATAAAGCGAAAAGGGGTAATGGATGGTTTGAAAGCTCGGGCTAAGGTAAAATTATGTGTTTGTTTGACCCATACCCATACATGACCCATGCCATGGGTATATTGCTGTTAGAGTTCATTGGCATTTAGGCAATATATAAAAACATTCTTGAGTCTCATGACCCTCTTTGACTATTCTAATCTGGCTACTAATCTATGACTTGTAAATAATATGAAATTTTGTCTGTTGAAATTTTACAGTAAATCTTCAAAATAAATAATCACCATTCTGAATGATACTGAACAACTTGGAAAATATAACACGGTTCTGTGTATAACCAGGGAGATTGTCGGTTCTGTGTATAACATTCATTGTCGGTTATGTGTATAACATTAATTTTCCTAACATTCATTGTTAATGTTGATATGTATAATTAGTAATTATATACAATCGGTAGTATTATCTGTTTGGAGCCAGAAGGACGTTGGCTCATATACATAGTGTTAACACCAAACTGGCTCTGACGATATTCAAACATCATACTTCGTTCTTTAAACTACTCTACCAATTGTGTGTATCAGTCTCTTTCTTTCTCTTTCTACCACTCTCTCTTTTTAACTATCTATCCAACTCTAATTTTCTGTATATATATATATCCATCCATTTTATCTTCTTCTTCATCTGCTCCCCCTCTCTATTGTCTCCCACTTTCTCTCTTTCTATCCATCTATCTCTATTGTCTCCCCCCTCTCTCTCTCTCTTTATATATATTTATGAATTATGACTTGCTGCATACTTGACTCCCACCACCTCCTCTATACCTCTGCCACAGTCAGACCTATCAATTTGACACTGTATGCCACCCTAAACTTCCGTAGAAATGTATTAGGGCTGATCCAAACGCTGATTTGTAACTTGGCTCTTGGCAAATAGGCTTACCAGTTGGTTAAGAGGATAATCTCAAAAGTCAAAATTGAGCTTATATCTTAATCCCCTCGGCAATTTAATATCTAGGGCAATTTTCTATTTACCTTCTACACATATGGGAATAGCTATCATGTTCATCTTATTTTTCTGCTTTCATACAAATTAAATTATTACAAGGGTTGGATTGCCCTTTAAGCAAGCAAACATCACATGCATTTATTGACAGTGTATATAGGTGATTGAACTCATTTGATATTTGCAATTTTAAGTATTTATCTCTTCATCTTATTTTCTGCTTTCATACAAATGAACTTTTTACAAGGGCTGGATTGCCTTTAAGCAAGCAAACATCACATGCATTTATTGACAGTATACAGGTGATTGAACTCATTTGATATTCATAATTTTAAGTATATGTAAGTTTAAGTATTTGCAATTTGACTGTAAGTGCTCTCATATTTTGTGATTTTGAAAGTACTTGAGGAATCTCCTACTTCTCCTCATTATTACCAAAACCAAATCCATCTCCAACATCAGCATCAACATCATTACATCACACTTTCAAAAGTAGCTTTAAATGCTTAAAGGTAATACAAAGTTTTGGGATATTTTGAAAATTGGGTGGATAGTGAATCGTTACAATTTTTATATATTTGGATGCCCCTGTGGATGTATTATAAGCACTAAAAAAATTACCCCCTAAAACACTTCTGTTTTCGAGAAAAATTGAATATAAAAATTTACCGGTGCTCCCGGTAAATTTTGATAAATTTCAAATAGCGCCTACGGCCGTACAATGGTAGCTGCGACCATGAAAATCTCAGAATATGTAGTTGTGATATGTTATTTCCAGACGGCAATAGCGATTTTAGTCAAGAAACATTGTTTCATAGCTAAATTAATATCTGGACCTTGAGAGGGAGTTATACAACATGAAGAGTTTATTATTTATAATTTCATAACTTTAGACTCGATTTCAACCAGGACAACGATCAATGAATATTGTGGGAACGCATATGCTTCCAATATTTTAATTTGAACCAAACTCATGACCCCATACCAAAACTTTGTAATACACTTGATATCATAACTAATGAACCTCTAGTCTATATAGGCTCAGACCCAACTCTTACTACCAGTCTACCTATGTAATACTACTCAACACCCTATGCTCATGGGCCTGCTTCAAGACTACTAGTACATTATCACCACATAGTTTTACTACCCACATTCCTTTCTCACATGCATACCATATGTATGTATATTTGTATCTACCCCTGCCCCATCACAGATCGATGATGACATCTATTTTTAAAAACTCATTTTATTGGATAAAATCTGGACTAAAATGCCTGTGAATGTAGACTAGAGCTTGCAGCAGACCAAGAGGACAATAAACATTGACATATAAGGGAGAGCCATGCACCCTGACCTAGCATTCCTACCATAACTACGGCTTCCACACAGGCCAGGCAACAGCTCCCTCGCCAGTTAGGAAACATAGCACAGTGCCTATGCGTTGATGCTGCCTACCATTGTGACGATAAATGATTTTGAAATTTCTTTTTGAAAACTACTTGACTTTAAGTTTGGATATACAATAACAATACCATGAACAGTCTTTACCTGACTACTGAATATACAATAAACAAATAATACATTTGAAGTATTAGTCTACAAATAAATTTCAGCCAGATATTTTTCTCCATACATTCTACCCAGGCATTTTCACAATTTTCTGTAAAGTATTTCTTCATTTGCCCCCCCCCCCTGCTCTCCCTCTCTATCTCCCATTCTCTAATATGTGACACCTACAAACTGGAAGCTAAGAATAAGATTACATCTCTGTGGTTTTTAGTAATTCATTTGTACTTGGACTACACCTGTACAAATCATTGA